CCTCACTCCTCCCAGTTTCCTCCGACAGAGGCCCCGCTGCAGACGCTTCACATGGACGTGTGGGGCCCGGCCCGCGTCCGTGGACAGGGTCACGAGCGCTACTTCCTGCTGGTGGTTGACGACTACTCGCGTTACACCACAGTCTTCCCCTTGCGCAGCAAGGGTGATGTCACTGAGGTGTTGATCGACTGGATCCGCGCAGCTCGTCTCCAGCTCAGGCGGAGCTTCGGCTCGGACTTTCCTGTTCTGCGTCTGCACTCTGACAGAGGCGGAGAGTTCTCCTCTGGCCTTCTGCGAGCCTACTGTCGTGCACGAGGCATCCGCCAGACCTTCACGCTTCCGGACTCTCCACAGCAAAATGGGATTGCTGAGCGCCGCATTGGCATGGTCATGGACGTCGCCCGTACGTCCATGATGCATGCGGCTGCCCCCCATTTTCTGTGGCCGTTTGCGGTTCGGTACGCGGCGCATCAGATCAACCTTCAGCCCAGGGTCTCCATGCCGGAGACCTCCCCAGCCTTGCTGTGGACGGGGAAGGTTGGCGATGCGTCTGCGTTCCGTGTCTGGGGATCTCGGGCGTTTGTCCGCGACTTGTCTGCGGACAAGCTGTCCCCTCGTGCTGCTCCTTGCGTCTTCCTGGGTTTCCCCCCTGACGCCCCAGGGTGGCAGTTCTACCACCCCACCTCTCGCCGTGTTCTGTCCTCCCAGGACGTCACGTTCGACGAGTCGGTCCCCTACTACCGCCTCTTCCCCTACCGCACTCCGTCCCTCCCCCCGCCACCGCTCTTCCTTGTACCAGGTCCCCCCCCGGTAGACCCCCTCCCCCCTCAGGGTCCTGCCCCTTCAGGTGTGTCCCAGGTAGACGCTGTTGAGCCTGTCGAGGTCGCTGGTGACTCTGGTGCTGCTGAGGGTGCTGAGCCTGGGGGTGCTGACTCTGGGGGTGCTGAGCGTGTGGGTGCTGACTCTGGGGGTGCTGAGCGTGTGGGTACTACGACTGGGGGTGCTGAGCCTGGGGGTGCTGCGTCTGGGGGTGCTGAGCCTGGGGGTGCTACGCCTGGAGGTGCTGAGCCTGGGGGTGCTGCGTCTGGGGGTGCTGAGCCTGGGGGTACTACGCCTGGAGGTGCTGAGCCTGGGGGTGCTACGCCTGGTGGTGCTGTGCCTGGCGGTTCTCCGGGTGCTCCTTCTCGCCGGGAGCCACTCTCTCCCCAGGAGCTGCGTGAGTGGTTTGCCCGGCGCTGGAGGCGAGCTGCTGGAGCTGGAGGTGCTGCGGGTACTGGAGGTTCTGTTGCTGCTGAGAGAGCTGGTGCCACGGGTCCCGGAGGTGCTCGTACTGGGAGTACTGGAGCTGCTGGACCTGCGGGTACTTCTGGAGCTGGAGTTGCTGCGGGTGTTGGCGCGGAGGCTACTGCTGTCGGTCCTGGAGGCGGTCCTGCTGGGGGTACTACTGGTGCTGCTGGGGGTTCTGGAGCTGGAGCTGCTACTGGTGCTGGTGCTGCCGCTGGGGGTGCTGGTGCTGTCCCTCCTGTGTCTGGAGGCGCCGCGCGGCCTCGGCCGTACTTCGTTCCGCTCCTTCAGCAGGTTCTTGGTCTCCCGCCTTCTACTGGTCCTCCTCCTCCCTTAGAGTGTCCACAGCCTGTCCCGTCGCAGTTACAGTTACAGCCGGCCTCCCCACTGCCTGCTCCGTCTCCCTACACTGGTCCTACTGGAGGTCTTGCTGAGCGTCGTGAGCCTGCGTCTCGCCCTGCGTCGCCTGTCCGTGCTGCTCGCACTAGTGGTCGCGGTTCGCGTCAGCGTCCTCCTCCTGTCCCTGGCACGCACCGGATGTCTCTGCGTCCGTCCACTGCTCCTCTGCGTGCCCCTTTGCCTTCTCCTCCTGAGTCTTCTCTTCCTGCTCTTGCCGACCCGGAGTCGGACTCTCTTCGTGCTGCCAGTCCTACTGTCACGCGTCTCCTTGCTACTGTTGTCACTGACCCTTCCGTTGAGTCCACTGCTGCGTCTGCCCTAGTTGCTGAGCTCGTCGACTTTGCTGCTCGCTGTCGCCTAGACTACGTCGCCAGTCTTGTTGCTGAGTCTGAGTCTGTCTGTCCTCCGTCCGTCGGGGGTGAGTGTGCCCTTGGCACGGACGTCCTTGAGGACAGGCAGGAGGAGTTCCAGTGCTTGGCCGCTGCTTCACCTCATCTCGTGTCCGTACTGCTTACCCCTGAGGGAGACCCGGATGCACTTGACATCCCGACTCCGCGCTCTTACGCGGAGGCGATAGAGGGTCCCTACTCCTCTCAGTGGCAGGCAGCTATGGACGCAGAGATGGCTTCCTGGAAGTCCACAGGCACCTACGTTGACGCTGTTCCCCCTCCTGGGGCGAACATCGTCAGTGGCATGTGGATTTTCAGGGTGAAGCGACCGCCGGGTTCTCCGCCTGTCTTCAAGGCGCGTTACGTGGCTCGTGGCTTCAGTCAGCGGCAGGGAGTTGACTACTTTCAGACCTTCTCTCCCACCCCGAAGATGACCACTCTTCGGGTACTGCTGCACGTAGCTGCTCACCGTGACTACGAGCTACACTCTCTTGACTTCAGCACTGCTTTCTTGCAGGGCAGCCTGCACGAGGAGATCTGGCTGCGTCGCCCACCTGGCTTCACTGGGTCTTTTCCTCCTGGCACCCAGTGGAGCCTACGGCGGCCAGTCTACGGTCTCCGCCAGGCACCGCGTAAGTGGCACGACACACTGAGGACTACACTTGCGGCTCTTGGGTTTGCTCCCTCTACTGCCGACCCGTCGCTGTTTCTGCGCACCGACACTTCTTTGCCGCCGTTCTACATCCTCGTGTACGTCGACGACTTGGTCTTTGCCACAGCTGACACTGCTGGACTAGCCCACGTGAAGTCCGAGCTGCAGAAGAGACACACGTGCACTGACCTGGGTGAACTGCGCAGCTACCTTGGCTTGCAGATCACTCGGGACAGAGCACGCCGCACCATTACCCTGACTCAGTCACACATGGTGCAGCAGGTCCTTCAGCGCTTCGGCTTCACGTACTCCTCGCCTCAGGCCACTCCTCTGCCTACTCGCCACTCGCTCTCAGCTCTGCCTTCGGATGAGTCCGTAGAGTCGAGTGGCCCGTACCCAGAGCTTGTTGGCTGCCTCATGTACCTGATGACCTGCACACGACCTGACCTTGCATACCCTCTTAGCATTCTTGCACGCTATGTTGCTCCTGGGAGACACAGACCGGAGCACATGGCTGCAGCGAAGAGGGTGTTGCGCTACTTGTGCAGTACGTCGGGCATGGGGCTTGTGCTTGGAGGGCAGAGTCCAGTGGTCCTTACTGGGCACGCAGACGCTTCTTGGGCTGACGACCAGGCTACGCAGCGGTCGTCACAGGGTTACACCTTCAGCCTTGGTTCCGGCTCTGTTTCGTGGCGGGCTACCCGCTCGTCTTCTGTTCTCGGCTCCAGTTGTGAGGCTGAGATCTACGCAGGAGCCATGGCTGCACAGGAGCTTCGCTGGCTCACCTACCTGCTGACTGACCTCGGAGAGCTGCCTCGTTCTCCTCCAGTGCTGTACGTAGACAACAAGGCCATGCTGGCCTTGTGTCGGGAGCAGCGACTGGAGCACAGAACGAAGCACATTGCTCTCCGCTACTTTCTTGCTCGTGAGCTGCAGCAGCGTGGTCAGCTGCGTCTTGCGTACGTGGCCTCTGAGGCCAACACTGCTGATATCTTCACCAAGGCGCTTGCGCCTTGTGACCATCAGCGCTTCTGTACTCAGCTGGGCCTTGTGCCTACCTTGCCTCACTTGCTCACCTCTTGACCTTGCTTGTGCTGTTACATATATATATACCTGCTCTTGCTTGTCTAGCCTTTATATATATATGTACTCCTGCATGTGAACTGGCCTTGTGGCCTTGAACTTGTGCTCGGAATGTGTGGTGACTTTGTGATCCACCCTGAGCTTGCTTTGCTTTACTTTGCTTGACTGGTCTTGTGACCCCTTGTTCTCCCCCACTTTGCCTATGGGGGTGTGTCAGAATATTATAGCTCATGCATATTGTGTAGGCTATAGTGGGGTAGCCCATAAGGGGTACAACCCAATTAGGGTTAGTACTTGTACCCAATTCATTCATAGTTCATTCATTCCTTGTTTCTTATCACTGGACCGGCCGTGTCGGCCTACGCTTCGGGACTAGCCCGAGCCTCGCTGCCAGCGTAGCACTAGCTAGCTCGCACGCACCGCGTTACCGTTTGCATGTTTCGCGTATAAATGTTCGCTCATGCCTTCGCTCACATTTTGTACTCGTTTGACACCTTAGTGCAATTCTCGCTACTTCGATTCATTGCACCCGTAACACTGTTTGAAAGGTTACTGAAGTGTATATCAGATCAACGAGCTTCTAGGTGCCAACGTGGCACGGTTCAGCGACTGCGCTTTTCACGCTGCCGCTCTCGTTTGTCGCTTTTGCTTGTCAGCGCCAACCAGGAAAAGACACGATTGCAAGCACATCCAGGCACATTCCATCACTGGCGAGGAGAGTCGCTCACCAGTATCGTGCGACAATTTCGCCCAACAGCTTTCAATTTCCACGTCACTTGGACCCTTTTTCCAACATTTCCGTTTCATCATTTTGATCAAGGCGAGGTCCGCGCGCGCACCGTGCGAATCCAATTTCCCGCACATCTCCGAATTGATCGTTGGATGAAACATTTACAAGTCGCACATTTCATGAGCGTCGCTACGCACCGAATTTAGCGCCTTCTTCCCAACCCCTATATCCCATCAAATATATTCCATCTGCAGCACAAACTCTCAGCTTGCAGATTTCTCGAGAGTAGCCTCTCACACCTTTCTGCTTTTATTGATCTGCATCCACATTATCATAAGTGATCTCGATTCCGCTTCTCAACCTACTTCTCGTACTACAACGTCTGACTGGGGCTCAATTGATTTGTGCATATACTGGCCTGCATTCACCTTCAAAAGCCTTCCCTTGGTTTTTGAACCGCACAATGGCGGCCGTTAAGACGGCGTTTCACAGGCTTCCTCGCAGAAATAGAACTCTCGTCCGAGTCACAGCCTGCGCGCTTCTTCTTGTCGTCGTCTCATCCCTCAGTGCTCATGCCGCTGACATGAAAACCCGCGGGGGCACCCAACCAGCGCCCAGTACTCAACCAACGCCCAGCACCCAGCCAACGCCCGGATACACCAAGCCACCCACCTTGCCGCCGTCCGCTCCGACCAGTTCTAGCAACTCGGGGAGCGGATCCCCGTTCGACCAGGACCCTTTCGGCGGCTCGACGCCCACGGTGACTCCCGTTGACTCGGACGACCCGCTGAGCGGCGAGGAGGATCCGGCCGGCCAGCCTCCGCCCACGCCCTCCGCCACCCCCGCGCCAAACCCGCCGAAGGAATCGCCTCCGCCTACCAAACCTGCGCCGTCTCAACCCAAGCCTTCCCCGGTTCCTGCGGCGCCGGTCAACAAGCCCACGTCAACGCCGTCAGCGCCGTCAGCGCCGTCGTCAGTCATCTCGCAAGCAACGGGTTCGGCGGGGAAGTCGTTCGGTGGGTCGACGGGGAAGAGTCCTGTGAACCAAGTGGGGAAGACTCAAACGGGTACGGTAAACCCAAAGCCGAAGCCTAAGCCGTCGAATGGAAAGGTCAAAGCGAGCCAGGCTGACGATGACAGCGACGTAATCATCGGGCCCGCACCCTGCCTCCAGTCTACTCTGTCAGGCTTCACGAATTCCGTCAATCTGACGCGGCTTGGCGGGTTGAGCTTGCACTGGAAGATAACGAGCCAATCGTCGATCGACTTTGCTCTGGAGGCGAAAGCGACAAGCAAGGGGAAGAGCGGATGGGGCGCCGTGGGCTGGTCTGCGCGGAAAAGCAAGTTCCCGTCGGATCTGATTGTTGGTAACCTGCCGAAAGTATCAGTCGGTGCTTACGATATTTACGGTTACGGCGCGGGCTCGACTCTCAAGTCGAAGTCGGTTCACCTCAGCGACACGAGCATCGAAAAGCCCGGTGCCGGCGGTTTCATCGCAAGGTGAGATTCGGCGAAATTGGTAACATTTAAGCATGGAGTTCGCGAAAAGAAATTCGAAAACGCCAAAATGCAGTTTTTTCGCAACCCGACTTGCCATTACCACCATGGCAGCTAAATCCCAGCTGCGATAATCTCGCTTCAAATCGCGGCCACTCATTCCCGTCCTTCCACCCCGTTATGCCACGTCAGGTTTACTCGCTCCACGGACGACGGAACAGTGCCAGTCCAGATCGGCCCGAACCGCCTCATCTGGGCGTGGTCGGTCGAGAACACCGAGGATGTCGCGCTCCGGAAGAGCCGCCGCGGCGAGCTCGTTGTTGATCTCACCTGCGCCGCGGGAGCCCAGCCTGTGACGACCCAGAGCAACCCGAAAAGCCCCAAGACCCCGTCGCCGGCCAAAACCAGCCCTCCTGTCGTCAAGAGCCCCGCTAAGTCTCCGTCCGTCCCCTCCAAGTTTCCGTCAATCCCCCCTAAGTCCCCAGCTGTCCCCGGTAAATCTCCGACTGTTCCCCCTAAATCTCCGGCGACGCCTTCGCCGAAGCCTCCGACCACCCCCGCGACTAAGCCTGGTGTGACGCCCGCCAAGAACACGAGCAGCAGCGGCGGCGGAAGCGGCGGAAGCGGGGGGCTGAAGACGGGGAACTCGTGCGACGCGTCGTCCCTGCTAGGATTCACCTTCTCGACGCCTCTGGTGCTGAACAAGTGAGTATTTTGACTCCCCCTGCCTGCTGAGCAAGTACTAAACAAGAATGCCACTTACAGGTCCTGCCTGCTCCCCCCTTCCCTGCTGACTCGAAATGCGCCGCGTCGACCCTGCTGGGATTCACCTTGTCGACGCCGCTGGTGCCGGACAAGTGAGCTCAGCACTTCTTTTGACACGTCACTTCCGTTTTGCCACGTCATTCCCATTTCGTTCTCAAGATCGCCGTGTAGGTCAAGCTAGTCAACGCAGTCAACCCTCCCATCCTCCCCGCTCCCCCCACTCAGGCTCACCCTCCACTGGAAAATCGTTGGATCCGACACTCTCAAGGTCGCCGTGGAGGCTACGCTGAGTCAACAAAGTCAACCCCCTCCCGAATCCCCCCCCTCATCCCGCCTTTTCAGGCTCTATCTTCACTGGAAGATCATCGGAACCGACACTTTCAAGGTCGCCGTGGAGGCCAAGCGAGTCAACGCAGTCAACCCTTTCTTGGTCGTCATTCCCCTCCCACCACCCTCTCCCCACACACTCAGGCTCTACCTGCACTGGAAAATCATCGGAACCGACACTCTCAAGGTCGCCGTGGATGCCAAGCGAGTCAACGCAGTCAACCCTCCCATCCTCCCCGCTCCCCCCACTCAGGCTCTACCTGCACTGGAAGATCATCGGAACCGACACTCTCAAGGTCGCCGTGGAGGCCAAGTCCGGAACGAACGTGGACAACGGGTGGTACGGGATTGGCTGGTCGCGCGAAGGCGCCATGGCCCCCGCCGACGCCGTTCTGGGGAATCTGGCGGGCGGGCAAGTGAAGGCGTACATGCTGGGGGGCTACACCAAGACGGGCGTGCAGCTGTCGAATCGGCTCACGCTGAGCAACGACAGAGGAACGTCGACGACTGGGACCGGCAACACCATGTTCTGGTGAGAATCCCTACCTACAAGGCGACTTTTGATTGGGCTCAATCGGGGAACCTGGCGGGCGGGCCGGTGAAGGCGTACATGCTGGGCGGGTATACCAAGACGGGTGTGCAGCTGTCGAATCGGTTGACTCCCAGTAACAACTGAGGGATGTCTGGCAGGCTGGCGCCGAAAATGGACCTCAAGGCGCCGTCTTACATCATCTGGGCGTACGCTCAGGACATGTTTCCACCCAGCCTCCCCAATCTACCCTCCTCTCTTCCCCCTCTCCCTCCCTTCCTCTCCCAGGTTCTATAGGAAGGTTGCTGATGGCGGGCTAGCCCCGATAATGGACCTCAAGACGCCATCTTACATCATCTGGGCGTACGCTCAGGACATGTTTCAGACCGTGGGGTACCACGGGACCAACCGCGGGTTGCACCAGATTGACTTCTCGTGCAATCAACGGCCCAAGGTGATCATGGCGCCCGGGAGCAACAAGATCAACGACAAAGATGATGACGACGATAATTGATGCGGAACGCAGCTGATTGGTCGACGCATGGGTTGCTAATTGAAGGTCAAACAACTGATGATGGGGGTCTCAATCTGGTGATGGTGTTAGGAATCTGATTCGCGAGTCTCAATCCGGCTTTTATTCGCGGGTCCGCAGGCTCTCTGCATTTATACGCCCTCCGCCCGCTTCCTCCTCCTCGGTGGGCATCGGCATTCCAGAGATACGGAACAGCGGGTGTGATGGTCAAGCATGACGAGACGACAGCCTGGGTGCTCCGGTGAAGGACCATTTAATCAATGCACTGCAGTTACATTCCGACTTGCTCCCTCTTACCGTGCTCGAGGGGCAATGAGAGGACTGGGTTCCATTCCATTCTAACCTGGTTCTGTTCTAACCCAAGTTAGCGCAGCCATGGCAGCTGTCGTGGGGTTTGCTGCTGCAGTGTGGAGACATACTAGGAATTAGGCATATTTATAGACTGAGACTAGTTTTGCACTGCTAGTGCAGTGTCACCTGAGATTGCGTTGATTCTCTAGGCCTGTACTGCCATTCTTTTAATAAGTGTACTGCCATATAGATCTTGTGCACAATGACCACGAGAAACAGAATTGCAGTCCTTTTTGTTTCTTTTATGGAATCTACATGCGGTTGCACCGTAGCTGGTATTGCTGGTGTTTATTATTGCGAGGGGAACACAGTAAGGGTTGTGTTCCACACCACACGATAGACAAGCAGCACGTCTGTTGTCGTTGATGGTTCAGCAACAGAACAGATACACGCAAACAACGCCTGACTTGCAGTGTAGCAACCATTACATTTTTGTTAGAATTGGGCTGAAGCATTTCAGTTATAGTACCAATGCATGCCGCATCAGTGCAGTACCCCGGGATTGTTTGCATTGCTAACGGGGCCAGACATCATTATCTATGTGCATACCCACCAACCAACGCAGGATTCACACGCCAAACAGACATGAGAGGCCCATCACATGCACTGCACCTGGAAACAGACATGAGAGGCCCATCACATGCACTGCACCCGGACACAGACATGAGAGGCCCATCACATGCACTGCACCCGGACACAGACATGAGAGGCCCATCACATGCACTGCACCCGGACACAGACATGAGAGGCCCATCACATGCACTGCACCCGGACACAGACATGAGAGGCCCATCACATGCACTGCACCCGGACACAGACATGAGAGGCCCATCACATGCACTGCACCTGGAAACAGACATGAGAGGCCCATCACATGCACTGCACCCGGACACAGACATGAGAGGCCCATCACATGCACTGCACCTGGAAACAGACATGAGAGGCCCATCACATGCACTGCACCCGGACACAGACATGAGAGGCCCATCACATGCACTGCACCCGGACACAGACATGAGAGGCCCATCACATGCACTGCACCCGGACACAGACATAAGAGGCCCATCACATGCATTGCACCTGGAAACAGACATGAGAGGCCCATCACATGCACTGCACCCGGACACAGACATGAGAGGCCCATCACATGCACTGCACCCGGACACAGACATGAGAGGCCCATCACATGCACTGCACCCGGACACAGACATAAGAGGCCCATCACATGCATTGCACCTGGAAACAGACATGAGAGGCCCATCACATGCACCGCACCTGGACGAGGAGAGCTGAGAGGGCGGAGCGGGAGGAGTCGTCCCGCATGGCACCCACGTAGACATTCCCGCCCGCCACGTCAGCAAATGCAAAGCCAACGAGGATAGACCCAGGCGCAACACTTGTCGGGGTGCCATTAGGCGTCCCGTTAGGACTAGTAGCGGCGAGTATGCGACGATTACGGGCTCGCAAGACGCTTATGCTCGGAGAAACTCGCAAAACTTTTTATTCTCCTGTGGAACGTACGAATACATGAGAATAACCAGATGGAGTTGAGGCACTCGTAAGCTTCCAGAATTCGGAGGCTAAACCGCTTTTGAAACAGCTCAGTTGAACAGGTGACGGTGAGGCTGAATATCAGAGCGAGGCGTCATGAGGACGACACAACACCCCATGGGAGAAAGCTTGGAAGTTCGAAGTTGGAAGCGTGTTGGGAAGTGAGGAGTTGGGAAGTGAGGAGTTGATGAAACCAGTTGATACGAAATGGGAGTCCGCCACTCATGTCAGTTCTGGGTAAAATTGTGCGGAACTCCCTGAGCTTGTTCGACACGATGCAAATAGATGATTCGTTGAGCGGGTCGTTGTTGCTCCTATCGGGCAGATGGGCAGCTTTATGATAAATACTCCCCAATTCTGCCGACGAGTGTCAGGAGTCCTGAATTTGAATGTTCAAAAAATTGGTCCTGTAACGGACCAGTTTTCTACAAAGTCTAAGAATTAAAGCAATAATCAGCTGCCTTTTCCTCCTTTGGCACCAGGTGCTTAGATGCTGCTCCCTGAAGTGTTTAGAGGTATCATCAATCATATTCAATAGAAACTAATAATAACAATCACGCGCTTTATCCATTACCATCCAATCAAGCCCATCAGCAGCTGAAGTAGTGCAAATCGTCGTCCATCAATTGACCCATCAGCCGCATGGGATCATGTGCACCTGCTAGCCCTGCTATCCCTCCTAATCCTCCAGCCAACCCTCCTGCAACCCCCCCTGTAAGACCTCCGGCCATCCCTCCTGCCAGTGCTGCTGCGGCAGCATCACCCATCCCAAACATACCCTCATGACCGTCAACACCAGCTGCACCAATAGCAGCACCACCACTGCTGCCACCACCGCTGCCGCCACTGCTGCCGTTGCTCCCGCCATAACTCCCCATCATGCCACCATCCCACATACCAAGCTCGTCAGCACCTCCCCCGCCCATCCCACACTCCTCTCCTACCAATTTCTCAAACCCACCAAACTGCACCGCACCAGCAGCAGCACCACACCCCCCCGCCCCGTCAGCCTCGTCCCGGACCTCCGCCATAGGCTCGGTCATGGTCCGGCCGAGCGGGCGCTCGCCAGGCACCAAGGCTTGGAGGTCCGACAAGGCTCGGCGCTTCATCCTGGTTTGGAGCTGGCCCTTGGCCCACGATCCAACGGTTGCGATTAACTCCTCCTGCTGCTGTTGCTGAGCAATAATAGCAGCGAGGCGGGGCGAGATGGCGGGAGCAGCAGGAGCGGTCGGAGAAGCAGAGGGGAGGATGAGGGATGGACGAGTGAATTGGTTACTGGCGGAGTTACCGCTGCTGCTGCTCTTGCTCATGCCGCCGCTGCTCGGACCGTTGTTGCTCAAGCCAGTGTTGCTGCGAGCATGGCTGCTGCTGATGTTGCTCGCTCGATTATTGTTGCTCACAGCATCGTTGCTTGAGGTCATGCTTCTAATGCCACCACCACCATCGCTCCCTGTCTTCTCCTCTTCTTCACCGACGCTTGACAGCCCAGCTTTTTCCTCTCCCAATCGCGCCATCTGCTGCTGCTGGTGCTGCTGGTGTTGCTGCTGCTGCTGCTCGTGCTCCTGCAGCTGCTTTTGCAGGTCATCCCCATGTTGCTGCTGCTCCTGAAGCTGCCTCTGCAGCTGCAATTGCTGCCGGTTCAACTCTCTCCTCCGTTTCTCCAGCTGCTGATGCTGACTAGGATGCTGCTGCTGCTGCTGCTGCTGCTGCTGCTGCTGTCTCATCTCCTCTCCCTGCTGTTGCTGCTGTTGACCAATGGCAATACCACCAGCCATGCTGCTATAAGCTGGGAAGGGGTGGCCCATGGGGGGCATGTGGAAGGCAAACGGATGGGCCGACGCATGCGCTGCTGCATGTGCGGCATGGGCCGCATGGGCCATGTGGTGGTGATGCATGGATGGTGGTGCCATTCCTGCCATGCCCATCATGCCTCCGGGCTGCCCGAACATCATCCCCGGAAACATTTCTCCAAACTGCCCGCTGCCCGGGGCAGCTCCAGTCGGCAGGCCAATAGCAGGAGGCGGGTGAAAGGAATCACCTGGGTAGCTTCCTTGCCTCAACAGCTGAGCTTGATGCTGCTGGCGCTGCTGCTGCTGCTGCTGGTACTGCTGCTGCTGCTGCTGCTGCTGCTGCTGGTGGTGGAAAGGAAAATTCGGGTGGGATACTGGCTGTGCAGCAGCAGGCTTAGCAGCAGCAGTGGCGGGAGAGGGGGCGGCACGGGAAGAGTTGGAGAGCCTTGACTTGGATTGACTTTGTTGACCGTGCTGCTGCATGCCGGCCTGCTGCATGCTCGCCTTGATGGCGGCGGCTGTAGCAGCCGCGGACGCGAAGGCGGCTGGGTCCTTGCCAGACGGCTTGCTGCTGCCGCCTCCACCCGCTACAGCCGAACCACCACCAGCAGCGGCGGCAGTGGCAGCGGCGGCGGCGGTGGCGCTCCCAGAGAGAAGGAAAGAAGAGGCACTCGCACTTCTGCGCATGGCGCTGCTGCTGCCACCACCGCTAACACCGGCGGCGCCAGCAGCGCCAGCAGGAGCAGGGGATCCCGAACCTGCGAGCTTCGGGCGGAAGGGGCAGGAGGCTTGGTGGAGGTTCCGGGCGTTGCGGTCAGCAAAGGCGTTGCTCCACTGGTGCTTCGGGCAGCGGTCGAACGGGCAGAGAAAAACCCGGTGCTCAGGGGCCAAAGACCCCGCACCCTGCGTAAGCGAAGCAGCAGCAGCAGCGGCGGCAGAAGCGCTGGTGAGGTTGCTTGTACCGGAGAACACTGTAGCGGGGAGATTCAGAATTTCCTGCTCCGTCTTGACTCTGCCAGCCAGACGGCCAGGTGCTTCAGGCGCGTACTCGTCATAGTCCGCCCCGTTACCAGCCGCGGATAGTTTGAAGCTCCGCTTATCCTCCCCCGCTTCCATTGCGCCGGCGCGCATCTTTCCGCTCAGAATCTCCGCCAGAAGCGCGTTCGTGTCCACGCCCGTCAAGTCCGCTCCGCGGATCCCGCCGCCAATTCCGCCGTCGCGCTCGAAAGCACCCGCGCCGGGAACTCTTACGGGCGATCCGGCAGCGAACGGGTCGAATTTCGCCGCGTCTTCGAGCCGCCCTTGCGCTTTGAGAATCTCCGCCTCCTCCTGGTCCAGCACGGCGTTCCACGTGGCACTCTCGCGCGCCGTCATCTTATCCTGCAGGCACTTGCTCTGACGAACCAGCTTCCGAATGCGCGCCACGTCAGGACACAGATGCCGGATCACTGACGTCAGCACGCCCACCTTCCACGCCTTCTTCAAATCGTGCGGTTTCTTGTACGGCGGCGGGCCGGTGCCACGTGTCAGCCCCAGCTGCGGCCACCAGTGCTCCTCCCCCGACGGCCACCAGGGCGGCGGAACGCCCTTCTCGAGCGGAAATCTCCGCTGCGGCGGGTCGCAGTGCTGCATCAGCGCGGAGAGAAGCGACCCCAGCGTCGTATCCTGCAGCTCCTGCAGCGTCTGCGGCGTCGCGAGCGCGGAGGAAACCATTCCGCTCCCGCCGCTTCCGCCCGCGCCGGGGACCATCCCGCCTGGAAACACGCTGCCGTCCCCCCCGGCAGCCGCGGCGGCGGCGGCGGATGACGCGGCGGCCTGCTCCGCGTTGTAGCGCGCAATCGCCGCGGGGCCGTTGCGGTCGAAGCGCACCTTATCCTTCCACCACGCGCGCAGATTGTCGGAGCTTCCGCCAACGGGCTTCCCCTTTTCTGGGATAATCCCGTACACAAAGCCCTGCGCGTTGCATACTTCCATCATTTTAAGCATGTATTTAAGAATACCGTCGTGCGCGCGCGACATCTTTTTCCGCCGCGCCTGGTCCTGCTGCGACTGCCGCTGCCGCGTCTTCTGCTCGTCCTCGCCCGCCGCGTCCTTCGGCGCATCCGCCGCCGAGTCTCCCGCCGCATCTCGCGCCTCGTCTGCCGGAGTTGCTATCTCGCCGTCTTTAGCCCTCTGGCCGTCCTTGATTCGCTTCAGCTTCAGGCGATCCTTCCACATGCGACGCTCCAATTCGTCGACGTCGAATTCGTCGTCGGAGAAGCAGTCGCCGAAGTCGCAGGCGTCGCCTGCGATGAAATCCGCCATGTCGCCGAGATCGAGCTGACCGTTGATTAAAATTTCCGACTCCATCTTCTTGCCAAGAAACCCGACTGCTGAAAAAACGGACTCTTTCTCAAGCAGTCAGGTCGAAAGAATCGAGTCGGCTCATAAAAACTCTGGGTGAGCGGTAATTTGTCGATAATAAACCTTCGCGATCTCGTCCGTGAAATGCCCACGAGTTTTGGAGCACGAGCGAGTGACACAGCGACACGTAGCACGCAACACCGATTGCTCAGAGAGTGTGGCTGGGGAAGATGTTCCGAGGATTGTTCCGAGAATTTTGATATCCCGACAGAAAGAACTGATGAAATCTCTCAAAGCTTGTGGGATGTGGCGGGACGGTGAGCTGCTTAAGGGATTCGATGCTGTTAGACTGAGGAAGCAGGAGGAAGTAGTACGTCCTACTTTCGATTTCCTGGATTTCGATTTGGCAAGCTGGAATTGCTGTCTGACAGAGTGCAGAGCGCAATAATAAAACGCAGAAGTAGTGATGCAGAACCGGTGCCAGCAGGGTGAGGTTGAGAGAAGCCGGTGAAGGAGAGGAGCGAATTATAGCACAGACAATGGATGCTGGTGCTTACGAGAGAGATCTCTATCGACTAAAAGTCGTCCTCTCTCGGCCAGTCGTATTCTCCCGTCAGTATTCCGGCCACGCGACTTGGTGACCTCCGGCGTTTACGAGCAGAAGATAGAACTTGAGGAAGAGACAACAACAGTGGCGGTGGTTAGGGAGGCGAGGCGAGCTTGTCTGACTGGCTGACGGGTGAAGAAAGGAAGTGGCTCAAGATCGTTATGGCAGTCCCAGGCTTGAGGGCTGCTCAGTTTGTGGCTCTTAGAGCGTTCCTCTGAGTCTCAAGAGCTGAGGGATGTGAGGGATGGTGGAACTAAGGAAGCTAAATGGGTGGCTTTGAGATGATTTGCTGTGACAGCGCGATCTACACTCGTGGCGACGAGCGCTGTTCGGCGCTGAAGGGAGAGGACGCGCTGCGCATGCGCTGTGCGCCTCTTGGAGTTGTTTGCCGAGCCTAGGACGAAGGGAGCGAGAAAGCGAGAGGGAAAGAGCGAGTGAGGGAGCGGGAGCGCGAGTGAGCGACAGAGCCGGAGCGAGCGAGGAGGAACAGAGAGGAAGAGAACAGGGGAACAGCACGGAAGTGTATTTCGGAAGTCTCTTTTCGTTCTCACCTCACTCACACCCACCCACCCACACATCCCTTCCAACTCTTGGGCAATTTCCACGCCTCCAAACGAAGTCAAATCCGTAGCTCGAGCAAAATGGACCAAGCGAACAGCTAAGCAAACTGGAGTGCGTATGTGGCTGTGAGGAAAGCGCTTCACGGTAGCCACTGACGAATTGGACAGGGATTGCGAAAAGGTGTCAAGTTGGTGGGGGTAAGATCAAACCACTGCCTAGCCAACACATCAGCATCCGCAAATCCTGAAAAATGCGCCAATTGGGCGACTCAACAGAATCTGACCACATTTGCTGAATATTTGCGAGGTTGGAGTTCGAGATTTGAGCAAGGTACACGTCAGCCCTTGTAATATCAAGATCACTCATACCCACACGTTTGGTCAGCTAGAGCGCAGAAACTCCAAATTTCACCGAAGCAGAAAGCACACGCGAGCAGCGAATGGTGGGAGCTGCCACGTAAAAAACCACCCACTTGAAACAGTCTTGCTTATCCAGCCAATAAAGTGCGAGCTAGGAGCAACTGGAGCCAGTTGGAACGGATCAACAACATATTCTCTAGAAATATAAAGACTTCGCAGGCTTGGTAAAAAGCTCAAGTACAGTGAGTTGACTACACCACCGTGTTACCCCTCAGTGTGTGCAAGACATCAGCAGGAGGAATGGTGTCACAAGAAACCACATTGTACCACCGCGTTCGCGAAAATCCCAGTAGTAAGAATGCTGCCCGTGTGAAAAGTGATTTTTTTAGAAGGCCAGCTGGAAACCACATTCCCCGCCCTACCCAAGCAACAACACCTCAACTGGGCGCTGTTGGCGCACGCCCACGCAAGCGTGAACAATCGCATTCGAATGGCGGTTGGTTGGGCTGGTTGGGTAGCGAGGGAATGTATTTTCGCCAAGAATATACTATTACCGCGTACGGGTCCAGAATATACACGACGAACAGAAACATACTTCATGCTTTACACCACACACACAACAGTGCACATTTACATAATTACAGTACTTCCAGTCCAGTCGATAGTGCTAAACAGAAGTAATACTAAAGACTCTACCAACACACATGCAACCAGGGACACAGCAGTCAGCATTCAATAGTCAGCGATTCGGCCCTTCCTGCCTCCCCACTTCGCCACATATACACACATAGACTCACACCCTAACCTCCCCACCCCCCCCATCCTTCCCCCTCCCCCTCCTCCCACTTCACACACATAGACTCAACCTCCCCTTTCCCCCTATTTCCCAACCCCCTACCCCCTCCCCCCTCTTATACCACAGCAGCGTACATACACACATGAGATGCGCACTGCCCCCTATCCCTCCCCCTCCACATAGAGCAATCTGTCTCTAATCTCCGCCTCCGCCCCCCCCTCCATCTCCGCCTCCGCCACCGCCACCATCTCCCCCGCCTCCCCATCCGCCAGAGTCCCCTCCCCCCCAACCTCCCCCGGAATCACCTCCCCACCAACCTCCCCCGGAATCACTTCCCCCGGAGTCACATCCCCCAGAATCACCCCATCCGCCGAACCATCCCCCCCCTCCGCTGTCCCCGCACTCGTCCGCCCCTGCCGCGTACGCATTCTCGCAGCACTCCACTGTCGCATCCTCGCAACAGTCAGTCCCGATATCAAGTGCAAGAAATGCCGCCGCGTCAAACGACAGGCTCCTACTGTGATGGTGGCGATGGTGGGGATGATGAGAATGATGACCGCTCGTTCTCACAGTTCGACCTTTGACGTGCGGTGCTTTCCCCTCGCGGTAGAGCGGGAGCGCGGAGGGCACTTGGGAGAACGTATCGTAATCAGGAGTTCCCTTTTGAGGCGCGAAGGACGGCTTTTCCACCGTCACCGCGACATTCACCACCCCTGCGAACGAAGCACTCCGAAAACGGACCCGGGAGAGCTTGCACGTGGCAGTATACGGGGCGCCATAGTTTCGAATCGCTGGCTCCAGCAGGAGTACGGCGAAACCCAAACATTTGCGCCGCGATTTTGACTTAAAGACTTCGATTAACGCGAACGGGTAGAAGTTGGTTTCGCGCCCGTTTAAATGAGCCGGCGCGTGCGGCTCGACGGAAAGAAGCGCTTCGTCGACTAAGAACTTAACGGTGCCATTGTTCCAGGAGGCATACGAACCCCCCTGAAACGCGGGACCAAAGGGCTGGCGGTGCTTGGTGTTGCCGTACATGCACACCGTCGCGTAGGGAATAAGCGGGCGGAAGCACGAGGTGTCGCGCAGACCACTAGCAGATTCTAATCGAAACTCGACAAGCGCCTTGGGCGTGCCATCGACAGCCATCCACGCTACGGGGAGCTGGGAGGTAGGGACAAGCGCAGGAAACGGAGGGATAGGAATCAAGATTTCAAATTTCCAGAAATGAATGATGTCATCGCGGCTTCATGCAATGTCTGCTCAGGGAGTGAGTTTTCATCGCTTCAGTCGCCAATGTCGCGACGCTGTGCGTTACGAGAACCGCAGCTGGAACGTTGGTTCGCCGTGGCGTATCGTTTCGTCGTCGTCGCCCTGAACTGCCGCGTGGCCGTTGATTGCAACTTCAGCAGGCAACTGCAGCGTCGCCGAAGGTGGTCTCGCCTTTCGCAGTGGGTCAACTTATCAAAACCTCAGCGAAAACATATGTTGCAGTTACCGTTCAGCGACGCTGGGAAACGCAGGTTCAGGTCGCTGTCTCGCAGAGTTTTCGTGAAAGAATTATGCATTGAAGTTTCTAGAGAGTTACCATGACATGTTACAGTAGTACGAGTGGCTGCACGCACACTTTCGTGCTGTGGTTGTGCCAATCAGAAAATGTGAGCGCCCAATTGCATTGCTTCACGTTCGTGGCTTGCGAAAGCCTTTGCGACTGCCATGCTGGATGTCACAGTCGCTGGCGCGAACAAAAAGCCTCCACTCACCTTCTCTACGATGGCTCAAGCGTTCGCATGCGACTGATTGCACTACCACCGGCACCACTCAAACGAGGGCAACCGACAGTCGACCGACACCCATGCGACGATAAATTCACAATTTGCGCGCCTCGAATCTGGTACTCCTTCCAACCAGAGGGGACATTGGCCCGCCTCACTCCATAAATCTGAATTCCCGGTCCCCAACCTCGTTCCAGCACCCCCCTCCATTCCTTCACCAGCGAAATAAACGGCTCACAAGTTCCATTTTCCGAACGTCTAGTTCATTACTACTTACTGGGGACGCGCACACTACATCCTTCACCCCTTACCAGTACTGCAAACGTGATCGTACCTCGATATACCTTCTGGTTGCTTGAGAAGCTCGGCTCTGCATCCTAGTTAGACCAAGAATCGCCATGGCTAGGACTCGAGTTTCACAGGCATTGCTAACGGCACTTCTTATTATAGCATGTGAGTACCAAGAAACATGAGGGTCACGCCTCTTCTGTACTTGATAAAAGAAAATGTCACAGATATGTATTCAACTTCCCACTCCACCAAAGAAATGGATACAAAACGTTTCGTCACTAACGTGCTTCTTTCTCGAGCTGTACATTCATCCTCTGCCTTCCCCCTGTTTCTTTTAAATCGACTCACAATTCGGCCATTGCGTGCTTTCTAGTCTATTCACCTGAAACATTGTTTACCCCAATTCGCCCATTTCTCTGGCAGGTACCATCGCCATAGACGCCCAGAAGCTCGGAACGCTGAAAAGTGAGTGCTTTTCTCCCAATCTCTTGTGAATGGAGCCGCGCAAAGTTATCTCTTCGCTCGACCTGCACACTGCAGAACCACCAATCTCGTTCCAGGTCGATTCCATAACAGCGGGAATTGGAGGGAAGGGCAAATGCAAGCTTTACACGCTTTGCTGTCACAAACCTTCCACGTCATCCCTTCTTACACTATTCTATTCCCTTCATGAGGAAAATAACGCCCTCTTCGTTCCAGCCATCTATTAATGTTATCTGCAATCTCCTCCCCTCTTCCCCCTCCTATCTCTCTCGCCGTCCTGGACTTCCCTGTCGTCCTACCCTTCCCCCCCATGCTCCTTTCTATTTTCAAAATACTCCCATTCTTTCTCCCCAAATCGGTGTTTCAGAAAAAAGTGACAACTGTCATTAACGAGTCTCAATTCTTGCCCCCTCTTGTCTCCCTTTCCTTTCCCCGGTCTTGGACGTACTCATTCTTTTCTCCCCCATCGGTTTTCCAGGAAGAGTGTCAACTTTCATCAACGGCGGTTTCTCAGCCAATGTGAAGCTCTCCCTGTACACCTATTACAACAAATATAACATCGCGTTCGAAACCGTTCTCACCACCACCAACGGAACCCTGCTCCCGCCGTTCCAACACACGCTCGTCAACGCCACGGATGATACTCCCTATGTTATCTTTCCTCCTGGTGTGTGGGACGTGAAGTACGAGAAGCAAGACGGGATTGTAACGGGCTACAGTTACACGGGAACCGGTGCTGTTTTCAACAGTAACGGGTACACTGGAACTGCAGCGGCGAGTGTAGAACCCCTTGCGATAACGCGTACGCTGAGCAGGATGGCAAGGTGGCCGGCGCGATTCAAGGTTATTCTCCAGGATTCTGCGAACAACACTCTCGGCTCTAGGGCGCTTAACTTCGCTTGAGACTGCTGGGCATGAGGATGAAATTCTCTGTACAATAATCAGCTTCGCATTTACTAGATGATTTAACTGATACTGAGACTTATTGAGGCTCCATATTCCGGCTCAACTCAATAGCTGCACATCTTGCTTATTGTCAGCTTGCTTCAATATCTGTGTTCAGGCCGGGTTTGTGCTGAGATTATGTGGGAATTGATTCTCACCCAGAACAAGCCTGGAACCTCTGGTTTTCCTGCTACATTCACGTTCTATGTTTCAAGGTTAGGAGGCTTGCTGGTGCAAGAATCTTTATCCCCCTCGGAAGTCCAACATTCAGTCAAAATGGGGAGAAGGGAGCAAGAAGTCAAAATGGACCAACCACGAGGAGCGAGAAACAATTCTAGGCAAATCTAAACGCTAATTAATTTTGGTTTGCAATGATGCTAAAAGAAATGCTGATGCCCCCTAGGGAAATTTGTAAGAAGAGATATGAACCAATTTCTTGCAAATGTATAATACGGCCACATTCAATTGCACACTACCGTATCATCCTCCCATACAAGCTTCTTACCTTGCAGTGATATGTTGTTTTCTCACTTTGTTACCGTGTAATTGGCTCTGGGATTGGCGAAGAGAAGCCGCTAAAAAACGTAGTCATATTCCACCAGAGATCGCGAACCACCGGGTTGACGACGATTATCGCGAACCTCTCGTCAGGGTTGTCGCAGGGACGACACACCGACACAGGTGAGGTTAGGGAAAACGGTGTTTTGCGGTTCCTTCCTGGTGACGGAGGTGGATGCGACGGAAGCGCGACTCGAGCGACCGAATGTCGGATTTGGGCGAAGAATGCGACGCGCATCCGCGAAAGAAAGACGCGCTGGCGCTCAAAGCCCGCGCGACCTTCGTCCAGCCCAAACTGCGCTGCGCAACCCTTTTGTCTATTCTAGAATATATCATGCGACTTCAGCTCCACACTTCACCGCCGTGCGACAGAAAACTTCTTCCTCATGCTAATCCAAGGCGATTTAGCGAAGTACTTCAGGTCGTCCTAGTAACTCTTACTGCCATAATCATTCTCCGAGATTACGAACTAGAGGTTGCGCGATAGATTCTCCGTCTCCGTTGAGAAGTGATCACTTTCAACGTGTGTTACTGGATAGCTCACACATGAACACCCTAGCGAGCGCCATGCAGTCGTGGGAGGAAACAGAGCTCGTTCCGTTATCAGTTCGCTGGGAAGCAGACCTGCCGGCCACCGTCAGTATCGCCGTTATATCTCTCGAGAACGACGAGCCGTTGAAGAAGATCGTTTCACCTGCCGTTAAGGAGCTCCACAGACGGTTTTCAGGCGTCGCGTCTTTTCTCGTAGACGCCTCCCTTCTCCGACCGTCGCAGCCACGAGAACTGTCGCAGCAGCAGCTGCAGCAGCAGGAGCAACAGCTGCAACAGCCGCAGCAGTTGAAGCGACAGCAGTATCCTCGACTCTTCATCGATTTCTATTCCTGCTCGAGGCCCCTAGACTCCAGATTGCTTGGCCGTGCGACAATTCCCCTTGAAGCAGTCCTCGCCAGCCAATCAGAGAAGGGTTCGTACGACGTCGTTCAACCCGGCGGGATCGCCGGGCGACAGAGCACCAGTCACGGAATCGCACACGTGCATGCGCGAGCAGGCAGCGCGATTCCTCTGCCTCGGCGAGGGCAAGCGGAGTACCAGCGACTAGCCAATGTGCAGTCGATCATGAACCCCGCACGATTTGCGCTCCCGGCGACTGCTTTCCGCGAAACTTCGCAAGATCGTCGCCACAACGGCAGTAACATTCACATGCGAACGCGGGAGTTGGGTCTTTCAAACTCCTCAAATGGAAGGCGGGGCGATCCTCTGGAGCAGTCGAGGAGCGGTGCTGCTGTTCCGCGTGAGGCTGAGATATCAGGAAAGGAGAATGTCCCACCGGTGGTGGTGATTCGGAACCCTGACGGTATGCTCGAGGGATTAGGTTTCCTGGTCGTCGGCGCGTGAAAATGCGGGAACAGGTTGCGTTTTTTAGTACGGTACATGCCTTTAGCTCTAAGTCATGGGCCAACTTCCTGTCTCGGGGGAGAATAGGCAAGCTACATAGGAAGGGACGGGTCACTGGGTTACTCAGGGAGGCATCAACCCTAAACATGGAAACCCACATGGTGTTTAGGGTTGATGCCTCCTCCCCAGGCATGACATTTGAAAGGGATTTGACTTTCTTTGTCCGCTGTCTGTTTAGGGACGTACGGTAGGTTAGGACAGGTTAGCCAACCTTATCTTTCTACCGTATCATGTAATGTGGGCTGAGTGTCAAGTTTCAGAAGTTTCTCCTGCCTATGTTCTCCTCACCACACATTGTAAGGGCGGGCCAGGAAAGAGAAACATATGCAGACCACTCCACGTTTCATTTCTGTGAGCTGCTAGTGCATCACTGAACCTAAAACTTTATGTTGTCTCATCCAAAATAGCTTCCCTACTCACCACCTACGGTATACCTTTTCCCAAACAGTCCCCCAGTGTAGACAATATCGGAGCACACAAGCAATCGGTTGTGACAGTAATGAATGGAGGAATTCGCAAGGGCCACGCCAGTAGGGAACGGCAGCGGGAAGCCGGATCGCAGGCGGTGATTCAGCAGAGGGATGAGGACGGAGCGAGAGAGAGCAGACACTATGGCTTGGAGAATATGAGTGGGGATATTGCCGACGAGACTCCACTCCTCCTGCGCTTGAAACTTAACGAGTTGCACTGTAGCGGTGATGTTGCTGCCTTCCACTGCAGCTGTTGCCGCACACACAGCAACCATTTTCACGCCAATCACATCGGTCTGATTCCACGTCTACCCTGGTAACACGGTTACCGTGAGCAGCGCATCGACCTCCAATCCGATCCCGCCAGGTGTCAGCGTCGCGTTGGGCGGCTGACTGGCGTTGACTCGGAAGACGAGGTCAGCGTCGGGGTATTCGTGGAACATTCTGGGAAGGATCCAGCGCCACCCCTTGGTGTTGAGGAGTTTCCAGGGGAAGGAGTCCGGGAGGTGGTTGATGGTGTAGGAGAGAGCACCGGCCTGGAAGGGAGAGGGGATAGAAAGGGCAAAAACGGGAGTCCCCTTGGTGAGACGCTTCCAAGGGAAGGAGTCCGGGAGGTGGTTGATGGTGTAGGAGAGAGCACCGGCCTGGAAGGGAGAGGGGATAGAAAGGGCAAAAACGGGAGTCCCCTTGGTGAGACGCTTCCAAGGGAAGGAGTCCGGGAGGTGGTTGATGGTGTAGGAGAGAGCACCGGCCTGGAAGGGAGAGGGGATAGAAAGGGCAAAAACGGGAGTCCCCTTGGTGAGACACTTCCAAGGGAAGGAGTCCGGGAGGTGGTTGATGGTGTAGGAGAGAGCACCGGCCTGGAAGGGAGAGGGGATAGAAAGGGCAAAAACGGGAGTCCCCTTGGTGAGACGCTTCCAAGGGAAGGAGTCCGGGAGGTGGTTGATGGTGTAGGAGAGAGCACCGGCCTGGAAGGGAGAGGGGATAGAAAGGGCAAGTCCCCTTGGTGAGACGCTTCCAAGGGAAGGAGTCCGGGAGGTGGTTGATGGTGTAGGAGAGAGCACCGGCCTGGAAGGGAGAGGGGATAGAAAGGGCAAAAACGGGAGTCTCCTTGGTGAGACGCTTCCAAGGGAAGGAGTCCGGGAGGTGGTTGATGGTGTAGGAGAGAGCACCGGCCTGGAAGGGAGAGGGGATAGAAAGGGCAAAAACGGGAGTCTCCTTGGTGAGACGCTTCCAAGGGAAGGAGTCCGGGAGGTGGTTGATGGTGTAGGAGAGAGCACCGGCCTGGAAGGGAGAGGGGATAGAAAGGGCAAAAACGGGAGTCCCCTTGGTGAGACGCTTCCAAGGGAAGGAGTCCGGGAGGTGGTTGATGGTGTAGGAGAGAGCACCGGCCTGGAAGGGAGAGGGGATAGAAAGGGCAAAAACGGGAGTCCCCCTTGGTGTGACGCTTCCAAGGGAAGGAGTCCGGGAGGTGGTTGATGGTGTAGGAGAGAGCACCGGCCTGGAAGGGAGAGGGGATAGAAAGGGCAAAAACGGGAGTCCCCTTGGTGAGACGCTTCCAAGGGAAGGAGTCCGGGAGGTGGTTGATGGTGTAGGAGAGAGCACCGGCCTGGAAGGGAGAGGGGATAGAAAGGGCAAAAACGGGAGTCCCCTTGGTGAGACGCTTCCAAGGGAAGGAGTCCGGGAGGTGGTTGATGGTGTAGGAGAGAGCACCGGCCTGGAAGGGAGAGGGGATAGAAAGGGCAAAAACGGGAGTCCCCTTGGTGAGACGCTTCCAAGGGAAGGAGTCCGGGAGGTGGTTGATGGTGTAGGAGAGAGCACCGGCCTGGAAGGGAGAGGGGATAGAAAGGGCAAAAACGGGAGTCCCCTTGGTGAGACGCTTCCAAGGGAAGGAGTCCGGGAGGTGGTTGATGGTGTAGGAGAGAGCACCGGCCTGGAAGGGAGAGGGGATAGAAAGGGCAAAAACGGGAGTCCCCTTGGTGAGACGCTTCCAAGGGAAGGAGTCCGGGAGGTGGTTGATGGTGTAGGAGAGAGCACCGGCCTGGAAGGGAGAGGGGATAGAAAGGGCAAAAACGGGAGTCCCCTTGGTGAGACGCTTCCAAGGGAAGGAGTCCGGGAGGTGGTTGATGGTGTAGGAGAGAGCACCGGCCTGGAAGGGAGAGGGGATAGAAAGGGCAAAAACGGGAGTCCCCCTTGGTGTGACGCTTCCAAGGGAAGGAGTCCGGGAGGTGGTTGATGGTGTAGGAGAGAGCACCGGCCTGGAAGGGAGAGGGGATGGCAAGGGCAAGAACGGGAGTACCCCTTGGTGTTGAGACGCTTCCAAGGGAAGGAGTCCGGGAGGCGGTTTACGGTGTAGGAGAGAGCACCCGCCTGGAGAGAGAAAGGTAGACAAGGGGAAGGGTGAAGAGGGAAGTGGACAGGAATGCCCTTGGTGGGAAGAATCCAGCGAATGATGAGTCTATTTTTGAGTCGACTCAGAAATAGACTCATCACACGGGAAGTGGGATGGGAATGCCCTTGGTGGGAAGGATCCGGCGCCCCCTGATAACACCCACCTGAGAATACACTTGGCTGGCCACGGCAACAAGGCAGTGAGGGAGAGTTCTGAGCCATCTAACATGTCCCCTAGTGCGCCCACCTCATAAACACCCACCTGATAATACACCTGGCAGGCCGAAGCCACGAGGTGCTGAAAGAGAGAGAGAGAGAGAGTGAGAGAGAGAGAGAGCGAGAGAAAGACGGTTCCGAGCCATTTAATACCGTAGGTCCCCTAGTTTTCCCACCCACCTGATAATACACCTGGCTGGCCGAAGCCACGAGGTGCTGAGACAGAGAGAGAGCCACCATCTGCCCTGAATCCGCACACTCATCGCCCTCCCCAACACACTCTGTATCGTCCACCACACTCCCTCCCTCACGCCCTCCTCGACGCCCACTACCTTCCACTCTCCCTCTGTCTCCCCCTCTTACATCCAAAGCCTCCTCCTCTTCATTCCTATCCCCCTTCTCTCCCACCCTCCCCCTGCCAGCCGCTGCCGCACCCTCCTGCAACACCCTCACGCGATGGTAGCTTCTCTCAGCAGCAGCAGCAGCAGCAGCAGCAGCAACAGCAATGCCGCCGCCGCTCACCTCCCCACGGTGGGAGAGCAACCTGACGTCATCAGCAGCGTGACGAGACGGAAGGCTGACGTCAGCAGCAGCAGCAGCGGCACGGTGGAATAAGATGCTGCGATCCGACGGCAGGAAGCGGCCGTGGCAGGCGAGGGAGATCCCCTGGCCGTCGATCTCCGGGTCAGCAGGCAGAGTGGCATCAAGAGCCGCGGTAGAGTCGATGGGGACGATGCGGGGAAGAGCCTGGAGAGCGGCGTTGGCGGTGGCGACTACTGTGTCAAGGCTGCTTGTGATGGCCGCTTCCATTGCCGCCCGTAGGTGGTTGGGCAATAAATCCACTAGCCTGTGATTATAACAGGGGGGAGACGAGAGTGTTGCGAGGGAGAGAAAGGGCAGCACGGGAGGGGAGGCGACAGGAGGGCGTTTTGGGGGAAATTGTATGCAGCCAATCAATCACAGGTTCCCCGCATTGTCCCCACCAACCCCAGCACATCCCCCCTCTCTCCCTCTCCGCCCCACTCCCTTTCTCCCCCCCTCCCCCATCCCATATAGTCACACTCACACAGTGTACAGCCACGAGATGCTCCCAGTGAGTTGATCCTCTCCCCATCTACCCCACTCTCTTTCTCCCCATACAGTCACACTCACACGGTGTACAGCCACGAGATGCTCCCGGTGAGCTGAATCTCGATCGAGTCAATCGCCGCGCCGCGCTGCAGCAGCGACACCCACAGCCCGCCGAACCGCTCCTGAAGCTGCGCCGCGATTCCCGCCTGCATTCCCGTGATCCGCACGCTCGCGTTCCCCGAGTCGCGCACGTACCCGCCCGCCATGACGTAGCTCCACGTCAGGCTGACGTTAGCAGTGATTCCGCCGGAAAACACGGTGATCTCGCCCCCTTCGTCGCCAATCCCTAGGTCGATACTCGCGTCTTCTACAGTCGCGCTCCATAGAATCATATCCGTTAAGTTGACCTGTAACGAGCCGAGAGGCTTGGGAAGGTCCTTCCGAAGCTGGAGGTCAGGTATGGTAAGCGGGATGATTTCTTCAAGCACTTCCTTTACAAGCAAATCTCGGAACGACTGCAGGCCGGATTCTGACAGCCTCGCGGAAATCCCGCCGGGAGGTGCGGAGGAGAGAGGCACGCGTGGCGCAGGATGCGAGGCGCCACGGCTGGAGTTTAAAGGCTTAATTGCCGTCAACCGTTCGTTAGAATCTCGACTGGTTAAGAGGAGGGGAGTTTTAAGAACATCCTTCGCAGCGCGTAACGGGTAGCGCGCGCGAATTGTGGAACGCAGGAAGTGGGTGAGGGGGAAGGCGGCGCGCGGAAAGCGCAAGTAGCGGGCGGGCGAAAGGCGGGAGGCGTTTCCGGTAGACGCGGCGATAGCAAGGCAGAGCGCCACGTGGAATATGAGGAGCGTGGCTCGGGATTTGAGTACACGGGGACTGCGGGGCGCGCGAGCAACGGCTGCGGCTCGTGAGGCAGCCATGGATGGCACGGAATGGAGGACGGCGCAAGGCATAGCTTTTTGCCAACAAAAGGTTGCTAGTGATGTATGTTAATAAGAAATTAAATTATTCCCAGCTGTCATGGAGCAATAGCTCAGTGGTAGAGCAATCGACTGCAGATCGATAGGTCTCCAGTTCAAACCCGGCTTGCTGCTTGCAGTGTTTGCTTTTGCTCACTGTGGTAAATCACGTGATTGGAGCTGTTTGTTTGCTATCCAGCTGGCAGGAAAACAACTTGCAATATTATATTGAAAGTGTTCTCAGAAGGCATACGGTACAACAAACTGTAGCATAAACAGTGTCTTATTACTCCGGATCCGTGCACATCTAACCCCCCTAACAAGCTTGCGCGACCATCCACCCTCCAACTGACCATACAATCCATCCTCCTAGAAGGTTACATCCTCCTACCAATCCTGATCTCCATCCCCCCACCCATCATTTGCTCCATCCCCCCACCCATCATTTGCTCCATCCCCCCACCCATCATTTGCTCCATCCCCCCACCCATCATTTGCTCCATCCCCCCACCCATCATTTGCTCCATCCCCCCACCCATCATTTGCTCCATCCCCCCACCCATCATTTGCTCCATCCCCCCACCCATCATTTGCTCCATCCCCCCACCCATCATTTGCTCCATCCCCCCACCCATCATTTGCTCCATCCCCCCACCCATCATTTGCTCCATCCCCCCACCCATCATTTGCTCCATCCCCCCACCCATCATTTGCTCCATCCCCCCACCCATCATTTGCTCCATCCCCCCACACATGAATATTAGGCCGAACTTTACGGCACCTCACAACTCAACTACACCGGTACCAGTCAATCACACCATGCGAGTGCAACCCCAGGTACACGTGACGAGCACATTCATCCGAACACTCCTATCCTCAGGCTGCAGGGGCCAGCTTTTGAGGTGCTTCAAAAGTGCCTTGCCTCACAGAGTCACAGCTCACGAGAGCTACCCGTCGTGCCTGTGCAACCCCAGATACAGTACGTGACCAGCAGATTGAGCCTTACAAGCAATGCCTCACAACAGATCTACCCAGCATGCCTGTGCAACCCCAGATACGTGACCAGCAGATTCACCCGCCCACTCCCATCTTCTGGCTGCTGCGGGCACCGCTCCACCATCCTCTTAGCGTCACACCCCGTATACTCACACTCGAAAAAGTGCCGGCCAATGGGGTCGCGCCTCATCGGGGTGTGCCCACACGCCCTCCACGTGTGCCCGTCCTGTATAGTCACATTGTCAGGGCCAGGGCCGTCCACTTGCACAACCGTTAGAGTCACCTGTTCTCCTTCCCCTTCTCCTTCCCCATCCCCTCCCCCCTCATCCTCCTCCTCCTCTGTATCCCCATCGCTCTGATAGTCCCCCCCTTGCTCCTGCTCATGCTCTTTCTCTTTATCTTGCTCCTGCTCTTGAGGTTTCTCTTGATATCGCTCCTGCTCTGTCACACCATCAAGATTGGTCACACCAGCAGCAGCGTTGGCAACCTTGGGATTGTCATCAAAGCGAGTCCTCTTGGAAGTTCCCCAGGCACAGGTGGCGCTGTTGACCTGAGCGTTGACTGGGTTGACTTGCTGTGAGGCGCTGACTGAGTTGACTGGGCGCACAGGTATATCCATCAGCGGCGGGCGACTGCGTTTGTTGCTTCTCAGCTGGCTGTTGCTTGTGGTACCCTCTTTAGCTGGCTGCTGCTGCTGCTGCTGCTGCTGCTGCTGCTGGCGCTGCTGTTGCTGGTACTGGTTTAGCTGGTATTCCTGCTGGTGGTGGTGTAGCTGTTGGGGAAGCTGCTGGTGAGGCTGCTGGTGAGGCTGCTGGTGAGGCTGGTGCGGTTTCGTGGTCGGCGCAAGTGACTCTGCTGGCACGGCGGCAGAAGCAGCTACTGTACAGTGTGCTACAGTACCATGCGTTACTGTAGACGGGTTTACTGTAGAACACGTTACAGTAGCAGCTGACTGCACATTGGTGCGTGCAGCAGGGGGCAATTGCGGCGACAACGAAACCCCACCAGGAGTTGTGGAAATTGGAGGAGGGTGGGGAGGAGGAGACGACAAGGGAGGAGCAGGAGCTGACGTGGCAGCAGGAGCAGCTGTAGCAGCAGCTGACGTGGCAGCAGGAGCAACTATAGCAGCAGCTGACGTGGTGGCAGGAGCAGATGTAGCGGCAGCTGACGTGGCAGCAGCTACAGCGCAGAGCACAGGCGGCGAGAGGGAGGCGAGGAGAGCCGGGAGTTCTGAAGGTTGCACGCGCTGGAGCACTGTGAGAATGGCAGATGCTGTTTCCATTGAGAGAGGCGGGGGAGGAGGGAGGGAGGTGGAAGGGGGAGTTGCGAAGGGGAGGAGAGGGGAAGAGGAGGAGGATGGGTTGGGCTGGGTGGCAGGAGATACAGGCACTGCTGTTGCTCGTGGTGGGGGTGCTTCGTGGCTCGGAGTCAGGTTCGGAGGAGCCAGGCTCGGAGCCTGGTTTGGAAGCAGGGTAGCAGTAGCAGGAGGAGGGTCGGTAGAGCTGGGAACAGCAGCCACACTGCCTGCCATGCTGCCAGGCCGGGGGACCCCACTGCCAGGAAGGTTACTTCCACTAAGGTTCCTGCTGTTAACTGTCTCTAAATTGGTGTAACCACCCGTGCTAACCGTGTTGCTGAGATTGCGGTTAGCTGAACTGTTAAAAACGTTGCTGATGGTGTGGGTAGCAGCATTGCTGGTGGGGTTGTGGATAGCGTTGCTGATGGTGTTGCTGATGGTGTAGCCTGAGCTGGCGCCCTCCCCGCTGCCACTGGCAGTGACGCTGCAATGCGCTGAGAGAGGGAGTGAGGGGGAGGAGAGCGACTGCGGCGGAGGGAGAGTGAGCGGAGGGGGAAGAGGTGTGGAGGCTTGGTTGGAGAGAGGGGAAAGTGGGGAGGGAGCGGGGCGAGTGAGAGGGAAGTGAGAGGGGTGCGTGAGGGAGGAAGGAGGAGGATGAGAGAAGGAAGATGGAGAGGCAGCTTGGCGTGAAATCGACCCCAGCCGGCGATGGTCAGGGGAATTGGCAGTCTGATGCGCTGCTTTCCCTTTCCCTCCCCCCTTTATAGCTGCATCCAGCTGAGCAAACCCCCCCATATCCTCCGTTATAATCACTCTCACATCGCCCGCATGCCCAGCCGAAGCACGCCGCCCGGTTGCCGCCCCTTTCGGGTGGTTGTGCTCGTCCTTGTACAGAATCTCCATGCTCCCGCCGCCCGGAGCCATCTCGGCGGTTTTTTTCGCCGGGCAGCCCGGAACAGCGCAGCGGAAATAGCCCCTGGGGAAAGAAGATCCTTTGGGCGGCTTCTGCCCGTACTTCCGCCAGGAATAGCCGTCCGGTGGGAGGTCCATTCCCAACGATGGTGGGGACGACGCTGCAGGAGATGAATCAGCAGCAGCAGCAGCAGCAGGAGAAGCATGAGAAGCAGGAGAAGGAGGAGGAGCAGCAGGAGCAGATGAAGCATTTAGTGTGGAAGCAGCAGCAGCAGCAGCAGCAGCAGCAGCAGCCGTGGCAGCACTAGTCGCAGAAGCATCATTTGCCGCAGGAGTAGCAGCAGCCGCGGGTACTGACGCGGCCTGTTGGCCACCAACCACTGGCGTACAGTCACCCACTGCTGCTCCCCCTGCCTTCCCCTCCCCTTCTCCCACATCCACCCTCCCTTCATCCCCGCCTCCACCTCTTCGCCCCCCCTTCCTTCCCGCCTGTCCTGCCACTACCCCTAAGGTGACAGGGGCGCGCGCTGGGCCTGACAACGGGCGCCCCTGCCCTTGCCCTGACACAGATCGCCCAATCCTGTCGCTCTGCTGCGTGCCTGGCTCCTTAGACGCGTGGAGGGCCGTTTGGGTTACTCCACATGCGCTGCTGGGCAGGGCGGCACCTGGGAAAGCACCTGAGCCAGCACCTGAGGGAGCACCTGAGGGAGCACCTGAGGGAACACCGGGAGCAGAGTTCGAGGCAGCACCTGGGGCGGCATCTGCCGGTATGCATGCAACAGTGTGTTCAGGTGTTGCTTCGGATGCACCTGAGCGTTCACCTGATCGCCCAAGCAAAGGTTCAGGTGCTGCTCCGGGCTTTTCGTCTTCATTTCCAACACTCGCTCCCGTTACAGTCACATTCTCGCCTCCCGTTCCTGTCAATCCTGCCTCGCCTGTGATTCCCATCCCCCCGCCACCTCCGCCGCTCCCCCCTGCTGCAGCAGCACCTCCGCCGCTCCCCCCTGCTGCAGCAGCATCTGCGCCGCTTCGCCCTGCAGCCGCGCCCGTTGTGCCGCTTCCTGCTCCCCACACTGCGCCTGGGGCGGCAGCAGGTGACACAGCAAGGCATGTGCTTGTACGGGGGGTGTACAGTAACGGGAGCAGGCTGCAGAACACTTCGAACGTTTGCTCTTTAGACGGCGCTGCAGCGTCAGTTTCGTCTTGCGACGCCTTCTCAACGTTACCACCCCCGCCCGCTTCCCCCGTAGCCGTTTCTCCCCCGCGCGCGGGTCCCTGCAGGCCCCCTGTCCCGACTGTCTTCCAACCCGCTTCCGGTCGCGCCCATTCCTCCGTGGATGCCGCGTCAGCGGGGAGTTTCGGCGACGCTGCGACCCGTTCGCGAAGCTCGCCGACTGTCGCCTGCGGGACGGCGACCGCCTCATACGACGGTTCCGACGTTCGCGATGTTCGCGAAGCAGAGGCGACGAACCGCGGAGTCGGAATGGAAATCTCCGGCAAGGAATCCTCGTTGAAGACAAACGGAAGGGGCGGCAGAACGTGCGGAAGCGACGAGCATCCGCCGCCGCCGCCGCCGCCGCTGACGGCAACGGCCGGCGGGGCCACGGTGGTCGTTAGAAGCCCCACGGAAGCGGTCGGGGAAAAGGCGGAGGCGCAGACGGAAGCGGAAGCGGAAGCGGAAACGGAAACGGAAACGGGGAGGGATGCGGACGAGACGAGGGAGGCGGAAGAAGAAGAAACAAGCGCGGGGACGGTCGAAAATGCGTCGCTTACTATTGGCGAACTATCATCGTACACGTTGCAGGGATCTCGCTGCATTAAAGCCCGAGTCGCGATGTGACGAGAAAGCGACGTGGCCATGCGAGTGGTGCTGCTAGCTACCGCGGCTTCGTCCGTTCCGAGCGAAAGCGGCGCAGCGAAAAGCCGCTGCCCTTCCGCCTCCCGCTCGCGCTGCTGCCGCTGCGGTCCTTGGTCTCCGCCAACCTGGCCTCCGCCACAATGCGCCAATTTTTCCGCGCCCCTTTCAGGGAAAAAAATCCCGCTTTCCTTTTGCCTACGCTCCTGCTGCTGATGCGGCGGCTGCTCCTCTTGTCGCTCTCCTTGCTCCGTGTACCGCGGTCGATCCGTCCGCCAATGCTCCGCGCGCCCATCGTCCGCCAGGCGGGGCGCTAAACCAGCGGACTCGCACCGCGGCGCGACATTATCGTCGCAACTATTATCGCGGAAATCCAGGAGTCTCGGCGTGTGTCGTCTCGCTTCAAAACGCTCCCTCTGCCGCCCGTACTCTGCCCGCGCTTCGTCCGCTGAGCGGTTCGTCGACGCCACGTCAGCCCTAGACGCCAAAGCCGCTGTGCTTCGGTTCTGTTGTTGTGTGTATTCTTCGATCCGTTGCTGCCGCGGCAGTCCTTTTTGCTGCAGCTGCTGCACGCTCCTTTGCTGCTGCTGCTGGAACGACTCGCTATCTTCTTTCTCCTTGAGACACGTCTGTTTCGTCTCAGCGTTGCGCCGCGTACGGCGGCGAAACGACTCAGCGAAGCTCTGGTCATGGCGTGCTTGTTGGAGTTGGGGTTGCGACGAAAACGCGTGGGTTGGATTTTGGTCGGTGGGAACCGCGTGTCTACCCGATAGTTGCAGCTGACGGCGCTGTGGAGAAGAGGTCGACGGGAGTGAGAAAACAGAGCAGTCTTTTTCGCCGCTTGCCTTAAGCGAACTGGCTGTGTTGTGTGGGTGGTTGGCCGACATTTTTTCACATCGCGAGATGACGAGTGAATTGTGTACTTGAGAAGGGTATCTCGATTCTCGATTGATGCAAAAAACGAGGTGAGATGTGGAATGGAATAAATTTGTGATTGTGGCAAAGTTGGGGGTTTTTACAGTCCGACAGCTGGAGACGACGCGAGGAGCAATGTGCTTGTGTGTGAGTCGAGGGGTTGACGTGCGGTGGGCTGAATTCAGATCTGGAGTAAAAGTAGGTCAGCGCACAGAAGACCGCGATGCGGCTGCTGGTTCACGCAGGGAGAGACCGCGACGCGCGGTCACAAGGGGGTCCACCATTTGCAAACCAGGTTCCGAAATTCTGCGGCGAGAGTAATTGACTGCGGTCAACGACAAAGTGGGCGTTAGATTGAGGTGAGGACTTGAAAGTACAAAGCGATACAACTGATGACACGTGGATCTATCTAATGGGTGAAAATAAGGCAAATGCACCCGAAGAAGCTGGAGGGAGTAGGTGCGATTATGTGTGTCTTTTGCCCACGTCTATCTTGTCGTCTGTTGTGGACCAATTCTAAGGGCGTGTCTGAAGTGAATTTCGACGTTTGCCGACGAAACTTTCGCCGTCGTTCCTTGACGAAACTCGACATCCGTTTTCAGCTGTGTTCACTTCAGACACCCACACGACAAAATAACCCACACGTGCCATAGGAACACTGTTATAAGTTGCCCATGAAAATTCGACGTGGAATTAACAGAATCATTCATGTAACTCAATTGTTTGCAATCTCGCGAATTTCGCTTAGCATAGATTGTTGCTGGTAACACCGGATATTCTACTGTCACATTGCCAGCGAAATTTCTCTAGCACGTGTCGCTCTCGTCTTAGTTCTTATTCACGTGTGTTTGCCACAGCTATGCAGACATGGCGTGTCGAAGAATTGTTTTTGAAACACTCACTGACTACAGTGACTCAAACAGCTGCCCGGTATCACTGTTCGACATCCCTCGACATGTGCACGAACGTCGAGTTTCGTCGAGGGATGTCAGGCTGCACTTCAGACACCAACACGCGTGGGTCCCACGGATGAGTTTCGTCGACGAAATTTGACGAAACTCGACGTTTGCACTTCAGACACGCCCTAGTTCTGAAGCGCCGGAGAGCGAGGGCGACAACCAACCCCAGTTGTTACGCATTCCTTGCCACGACAATTTGGCAGTTATCAACGAATTTCAAACACCCAGCCGTCATACCAACTCTACGGAAAGCAAACCGCTTTACGCTGATGCGTCTGAGCGTCCTATATCACCCTAGTACAATTGAAGCACCCCGCATTTTATCCCTACAATGCCTCTCTACTATTTATTTCCATCAGTCTTGAAACCCACCATTCGCGCATGTAAGCTAAACATATTGTAATACTACCCAATCAGTCGCTGCCTACTCACGGAGGTAACCACTTGTGATTTGAACGCAGTGGCCGAGAACTGCAGTGCCGTGTCTCGAATCATGAATCCAAAATATGCGAGTCCGAGAATGCCTGCTACGACTGCAGTCACGAGGTACCACCACTGCAAGGGGGCATAATGAAGGGATGGGAAATAAATTGAGTGAATATGCAAACAGCAGACCATTCATTTCTATTGGATTGTCATATATTAATTTGCTGCTCTCTTATACACCCCTTCCTCCCACACAATCCCAAATGTACACTCACATCCTGGTTGCCGCCATAGAGCTGCCCGTACACGTCAATCCCGAGGAACACATTGGCGCATCCCATGGCGATAGCCGCTATGCCCATCGCCCAGTGGAACGTCAGCCACGCAGAGCGGTGGGACGTGCCCTTGTCGGGGCGGAAGAAGCCCAGGAAGGGCTGCACGAGAGTGAGAGCCAGAGCCACCACTCCCAGCTTGCCGTGTGTCCACTCCAGGCCCTGGGAACCTGAGACTACAAACACCATGATAGCCGCTACCAGCACCAGGAGAACAGCGAGGATTTGAATGTACCTGGTGGGGGGGTGAGGGGGAAGGGGGAGCGGGAGGGGGAGGGGGGAAAGGGGGTGAGGGGGAGGTGGCAGCTTGCCGTGCGTCCACTCCATACCCTGGGCTCCATGAATACCATGATGGCCGCCACTAGCACCAGGAGCACCAGGAGAACAGCAACGATTTGAATGTACCTGAGAGGAAGAGGGGACGTGGGGGAAAAGGGTGGAGGTGGGAGGGGAAGGTGGAAACGGAGGGAAAGGCAGGTGGAGGGAAGGTGGAATGTCAGCCAAGCTGAGTGGTGGGATGTGGGCTTGTGAGGGCGGAAGAATCTTCTCGTCAACAACCCAACCCCTTTACCACCTAACACCTGCTTCAACCCCTCTATTGGCCGTTCTCTCCCCATCTCCCCACTCACTTATGGCAACAGAGGGAACCAGAGCCCTCTGTCTGTGTGCCTCTCCTTGTCTTCATCGGAGGGCAGAGTGGGACGGTCGTAGAGGAAGAGACGAGCGAGCACTCCCAGAGGCATGAGCAGCGCGTAGGCGAGAGCGAGGAGCACTCCCCTCTCTTGCCCCACTTACAACCCCAACCCCCATGATAAACTCACTTGTGGCAGAGGAACCAGAGGCCCCTGTTGGTGCGAGTCTCCCTCTCCTCCTCGGAGGGCAGAGTGGGACGGTCGTAGAGGAAGAGGCGAGCGAGGAGCACCCCCCAGCAACAACCCCCCTCCCTCTCTTGCCTTTCAACCCCATCAACTCATAATAATCGACTCACTTGTGGCAAAGGAACCAGAGGCCTCTGTTGGTACGAGTTTCCCTCTCCTCCTCCGAGGGCAGAGTGGGACGGTCGTAGAGGAAGAGGCGAGCGAGGAGCACCCCCAGCGGCATGAGCAGCGCATAGGCGAGAGCGAGCATGATGCCGTGCGCCAACAGCACTGCCTTCTTGCTGCTGTTGCTGGTGCTGCTGCTGCTGACAGGGGCGGCCGTGGTGTTGACGAAATTGACCGAGGCAGATCCACTGGAAGGATAGAGGGGGTGGGGAGCAGAGGAGGGGAGTCAGAGGCATGAGCAGCGCGTAGGCGAGTGCTTGCTTGCTGCTGGTTTGACATCACGGGGAGTGACGAGGCATGGCATGGCAAGAAGGTACGCACCAGTTGGCGCCATGGAAGCTGAGAGATGGCTGATCAGAGAAGGACCAGATGACTGTGGTGCTGCCCTCCGCGTTGATAGGCGCTGTGCCATCCGTTGTGGAGCGCTCAAACCTGCAGAGCAGAGGGGTATGAGAAGCACAGAGAGAAGCAGTCAGAGAGAGGTGGAGAGAGAGGCAGAGACGGATGAGGCGGAAGGAAAGAGGCGGAGAGTGGGAGGCAGAGGGGGAGAGAGCGAGGGACGGAGAAAGCCCAGATTATTGCGGTGCTGCCCTCAGCACTTATCGGCGCTCTGCCGTCCTGCCATTCGAGCTATGAGACTTGTCCTCTATTTTATGAGACCTGTGGAGAGCCAGGCCCACCCTCTCATTTCCAAGTGAAGGCCCCACTTCATGATGGTTCTGCCGTTGCTCTTCTCCACCGCAGTGTTCGCGAGCTTGAAGTCACTCGAAGGCACCACCGCATCCCCCTCGTACCGGCCGATGTAAGACCAGACCAAACCAGGCCTGCAGGCACACCCACATTCCCACGGGAAACCAGCCACATCCCCCGGCGCACTGACCTCATAATTGTTCTTCCATTCTTGCTCTCCACAAACGTGTTTGCGAGCTTGAAGTCACCGGAAGGCACCACCGCGTCCTCCTCGTACCCGCCGATGTAAAACGCGCCCACCGCCGCCCCGTTGGCTACGGCACCAAACGGCAGGTTGCCGATGGCGGCATCGGAGGGTGCCATGCGGCCCCCACGCGACCAGCCCAGGGAGAGGAAACCTGATGTGGCTGCCTCTGCTGCTATGGCTACAGATGAGGAACTGAGCTTCTTCCAGTGCAGGATGAAGCTGCATGGGTGGGGGGAAACAAACGGGCGGAAAACAAGGATGGGGGAAGGGGAAGGAGCAAGGGATGTAAAACGCGCCCACTGCTGCCCCGTTGGCGATGGCACCGAACGGCAGGTTCCCGATGGCGGCATCTGATGGAGCCATGCGTCCCCCGCGCGACCAGCCCAGGGAGAGGAAACCGGTGGTTGCTGCCTCTGCTGCTATGGCGACAGAGGTCTTGCTGAGGGCCTTCCAATGCAGGATGAAGCTGCATGGGTGAGGGATTGAGGAGAGGGGAGGGGCGACGGGAAAAGAGGGAGAGCGTGAACAGAAGTACTCATGCTTGTGTTAGCAAAAACATCACTCACTGGTGTTACTAGAAACCACTTCGCCCAGTTGTGTTACCATAAGCACTTCACTCACTTGTCGCCACTGAGCTTCAAGGAGCAAGTGTAATTCGCCAGAGACGAAGGGGAGCATCCCAGCATTGCTGCTTCGGCAGCTGCCACTGCTGGTTTTGCCGGTTTTCCTCGTTTCGCTGGTTTTGCTGCTGCTGGTGCTGGTGCTGACGGTGCTGCCACTGCTGGTTTTGACGGTTGTGCCAGAGACGGTTCTGACGGCTCTGCCACCCCTGGTTCTGACGGCTGGGCGGCAACTGACGGTGGCACTGCTGGGGCGTCCAGAGCAGGAGGGAGAGGGGCGGAGCCGTGGGTGTTGGCAGGACCGCAGGCCAAGTTGACCAAAGCAGAGCCCCTGGAAGGGAGGGGAAAGGGAGAGGAGAGGGGCAGAGGAAATGTGAGGAGACAGGTCAACTCAGTCAACTGAGTCAACGAGTCGATGTGTTGCCAAGGGCTTGCAGTCACCACCAGGCATCCTATCCATCTAAAAGCATACTCGTTACAACACATACTCGTTTCAGCACATACTCGTTACAGCACGTACCTGTTAAGAGGCCCATGGCCGGCGAGAGTCTGTGTCTCATCAGCCGAGAAAGCCCAGATGATGCAGTTACCACCCAACAGCGTTACCGGCGCTAGCCCGTCAATGGTGGTCCTGGCAAACCGTAGAATCGTGCTCCCATTGGCCACTGGAGCTTCGGCCACTGACGTGCCGCCACCTGCCGGCGCGCCATTGGCCGACGGCGTGAGTGTGACTATACTGGGGGCGCCGATAGCAAAGGCGGAGGTGGCCGAGATTGTAGCGAGGGAGCGGCCTGTGATGGTGTAAGCACTAATCGCACCGCCTGTAGTGTGAAAGGGTGGAGGAGAGGGGGGAAGGGAGAGTTTGGGGAGGGAAGTGGGGGGGGAAGGGGTGGGAGAGCAAACAGGTGATGTGGGGCTGGTGGTCGAGATTGTAGCGAGGGAGCGGACTGTGATGGTGTAGGCACTAATGGCACCGCCTGTAGTGTGAAAGGGTGGAGGAGAGGGGGGAGGGAGAGTGGGGGGGGAAAGGAGTGAAAGAGCAAACGGGTGATGTGGTGGCCGAGATTGTAGCGAGGGAGCGGACTGTGATTGTGTAAGCACTAATGGCACCGCCTGGAGGGTGAGGGAGAAGGGAAGGTTGGGGGAACAGGGGGTTGCAGGGTAAGAGGGGATACGGGAGGGTGGGATAACACCCAATGATGGCATCAAAAGGAAACACCTTGCCCTTCTCGCTCCACCCCACCGCCACCCCACTCCACCCCACTCCATCCCACTCCATCCCACGCTCCACCACTGATGTTACCTCCTCTGCCCTCTCCCTGCAACCTTACCTGCCGTGTTCCCAATAATGGCGTCCGAGGGGAACATCTTGCCTGTCTCGCTCCATCCCACCGCCACCCCAAGCTCACCCCCACCACTCTCTACCCCACGCTCACCACTCTCAACCGCTGGTATTACCTGCGGTGTTCCCAATAATGGCGTCCGAGGGGAACATCTTGCCCTTCTCGCTCCACCCCACGGCCACCCACCCCTTCTCCGCGCCACTCCCCGGCCTGGCCTCCAGGGCAAAGCGCACGAGCGTGGGGGACGCCACCGCCCAGTGCAGCGCCAACCTGAGGGAGAGGGGGGAAGGAGAGTGCGAGAGTTGGGGGGAATGGGAGATGTGCGCAGCATAATCCGCACGAGCGTGGGGGACGCTACAGCCCAATGCAGCGCCAGTCTGGGGAGAGGGGGGGAAAGGGGAGTAGTGGCACAACACTCGTTATTAATCTTGAAGGCCTTTGCTGGCCACAGTTTCAACCATTACACCACCCAAAAATAAAATAATAAAAAAACACTCCTTGTTATTACCCTTGCTACACTCACTTGTTCCGCACCAAAGGTGCCATGTACGAGTATCCAGTAAGAGTAGAGGCTTGGCACGCCGAGCCTCCTGCCGAACCTGCTGGGGCGGGGACCACCGGAGGCTTGGTAACTGGAGGCTTGGTAACAGGCTTGGTCACGGGAGGTTTGGTGACTGGCTTGGCAACAGGAGGTTTGACAACAGGCTTGGTAACTGGTGGCTTGGTGACGTTGGTTTTGGGGAGGGGAGGTTTGGCAACAGGAGGCTTGATAACAGGCTTGGCAACAGGTGGCTTGATAATCGGCTTGGTAACAGGCTTGGTAACAGGCTTGGTAACAGGTTTGGTAACAGGTTTGGTAACAGGTTTGGCAACAGGAGGCTTGATAATCGGCTTGGTTACTGGCTTGGTAACTGGCTTGGTAAGAGGAGGCACGAGAGGGTCGGCCGGACCAGCAGCTGAGGGTGGGCCGACAGGGTCTGCATGGCACAGCGAGAGGGGGGTGGGGGGAGAGGGGAGAGGAGGATGGGAGAATGGGTGAAGGTGCATGACAGGGGAAGTGAGTGGAGTGAGAAGAACAGCGCATGACGAAGCATGACAGAGCATGACAGAGCATGACGGAGCATGACGGAGCATGACAGAGCATGACAGAGCATGTCGGAGCATGACGGAGCATTAAAGAGCATCGCACCAGCCCATTACACCAACACCAGCACATACCAGCACCGCACGAGAGGTCCATGATAGCAGTGCCCTTGTTGGGCCCGTGGTAGCCCAGCGCGTGCGAGGCACAGCACCCACTCACCACCACAACCAACATTTATATGGCAGTGTTGCAACACACGCAGCACTGCCGCACGAGAGGTCCATAATGGCCGTGCCATTGTTGGGGCCGTGGTAGCCCAGCGGGTACGAGGCACACTGAGACCAACCCACGTACCATGCACCATTAACACCACCAGCATCACCAGCACATACCGGCACCGCACGAGAGGTCCATGATGGCAGTGCCCTTGTTGGGCCCGTGGTAGCCCAGCGCGTGGGCGCCGTCGTTTGAGAAGGCCCAGATGACCTTGTTCTTCCCGCTCAGGTTCAGCGGCACCGTGCCGTCCGTAGCGTTGCGGGTGAACCTGCAGGTGGGGAGGGGAAGAGAGGGGTGACAGGGTGGGGACAGAGGGGGGTGAGAGCCGTCGTTCGAGAAGGCCCAGATGACCTTGTTCTTGCCCGTCAGATTCAGAGGCACCGTGCCGTCAGTAGCGTTGCGGGTGGACCTGGAGAGGGGGGAGCGGGGAGGAGGGGAGAACCGTGAGCGCGTATCTTGCTGAAACAGGAGTTGTGTGCACTAGTAGGCATCACTCCCACTCACCCCAAGAGCACAGAATCAGCTAGCACCGCCCATCTGACTTTTGAGTCGACTCAGCACAGAATCAGCTAGCACCGCCCATCTGACTTTTGAGTCGACTCAGCACAGAATCAGCTAGCACCGCCCATCTGACTTTTGAGTCGACTCAGCACAGAATCAGCTAGCACCGCCCATCTGACTTTTGAGTCGACTCAGCACAGAATCAGCAAGCACCGCCATCAACGTGCCGCCCTGGATCCGTTGAGAGGTGTTGTGTGCACTCGTAAACATCACTCATACTCACCCCATCACCTTGCACTCACTCCATCAACGTGCTCCCCTCGGGGGTTTCACTCAGCGCCTTGTTCCGCCCCAGCTTCATCACCATCCGCTTCACAGGTGTTGTGTGCACTCATAGACAGCACCCATTCTCACCGTATCACCTGTCACTCACCCCATCATCACAGACTCAGCACCCACTCACTCCATGAGCTTGCTGCCCTCGGAGGTTTCAATCAGCGCCTTGTTCTGCCCCAGCTTCATCACGTGGCTCCCCACCACCGCATCCGCGGAGCGCCCCGAGAGCGCGTATCCGCGCACCAGTCCACCCACCAGGTTCCCCACGACCGCGTCCGCGTGCGCCATTCCGCCCGTCGCGGACCACCCCACGGCGAACCACCCCGCGGTTGCCGGACCCGGCCACGCCTCCACAGCCATCTGCACGTTTCCGGACGGCTTAGGGGGGTTCCAGTGCAGGAGGAGGCTGGGGGGAGAGCGGGCGGAATGACGGGGGGAAGGTGGGGAGGAAAGGGGGAAGGAAGGGGTGGAGAGTGAACGGCCACGCCTCCACAGCCATCCGCACGTTTCCGGACGGCTTGGGCGGGTTCCAGTGCAGGAGAAGGCTGGGGGGGGGAGGGGGGGGGGGGGGGGGGGGGGGGGGGGTTTTGGTGAGAGCAGGGGGGAGGAGGGGAAGGAGGGGGAAGGAGGGGGAAGGAGGGGGAAGGGGGGGCGGGAGTGAGTGGCTGTGCCTCCGCCCATGAGCGAGTATCCGCGCACCATTCCCGCCACAGGTTCCCCACCGCCGCGCCCGCCACTTCTTGGCTTTCAGTTTGACGAAGAACTTGTAACCCGCCTTCGCCGACTCACGACAACCTTGGGAGTACCGTCCCGTGCCTTTCCCCCGCGTCCCCTGTTCCCCCCCTGTTCCACTTACTAATGGGCTTTCAGTTTGACGAAGAACTTGTAACCCGCCTTCGGGGACTCGCGACAACCTTGGGGTTTGCGGCCCTCGGGAGTACCGCCCCCAGGAGTGCCGACTCCGGGAGTGCCGACCCCGGGAGTGCCGACCGCGGGTGTGCCGCCCACGGGAGCACCGCCCACGGTAGTCCCGACCCCGGGAGTGCCGACCGCGGGAGTGCCGACCGCGGGAGTGCCGACCGCGGGAGTAGTGGGTTTAGGAGTGCCGACCCCAGGCAACCCTCCCGTAGATGACTCTTTCTTGACACTGCCGTCCATGCCCGCGCCGGGGGCCAGCTTGGGCGGAAGCGGAGCCACGGGGGAAACTGGGGAGGCCTCGGGGGGGACAGGGGAGGCCTTGGGGGTTGGCGCGGGCACAGCTCCGCCCGTTGGGTCTTCCGCCTCCGCGCGCCTGCAGGACATGTCCGCTGTTGCCGTTCCGCTGAGTAGGGGGAGGGGCAAGGGGGAAGGGCGAAGGGGGATGGCGGGAGGTGGGGTAGGAAATGGGAGAAGGGGGAAGGGTTGGGGGAAAGGAAAATATTAAACGGGTTGGCGCAGGAAGGCACGGGGAGATTAGTCTGGCACAAGTAGGGGGAGAAGGCAGGGTGAGGCCAAGAAAGGACGGCGGAAGGGGGGCGATAGGTGCGTGGAGAAGAGTCACTAGAAGAGACAGAAACACGCCTTCTGTAGCGCGAAGCGTTGTTACATGATTTACTGTAGCACCTTGCTTGTTCTAAAATACAAAACTATTTTCTTCAGTTCAGTTACACATCACACGCGGGACTTACACGTTCTCCCCGTGAAATGCGAACTCGCTCGTCCCATCGGCCGCGTACGCCCAGATCAGCGTGTTGGGGCCGTTCATGTTCACCGGAGCCAGCCCGTCGGTCCCGCGCCGCGCAAACCTGCGCGCAAGGGGAATCGGGAGGGGGGACGTGGCGGCGACGATGGAAGAAAGAACGGTTCGTGCTTGCGATACGACTCCACATGCTTACATGCTTGCACCTCTATGACTTCTTCAGCCCTCATGTTGAGCCGACAATCAAACTGAGCCTTATTCTAGAACCAGTTTGGTCATTTCCTTCTTCAAACTCACTTGATGATCTTCGTGCCGTCCTGTCGCGTGACCATCCCCCAATTCGCGCCCAGCGCGATTGACGCGTTCGGCACCACGAGAGCCGCATCCTCCCCGCGCATGCTGTACATTTGCGCATTTCCGCCGGGTAAATTACCCACGATCGCGTCCGCCGGGAACATCTCCCCGTCGCGGGACCATCCCACGGAGAACCACCCCTTGGCGACGCCCCAGCCGGCTCGCGCCTCAAGCGCCATCATCGATATTTCCCCCGCGCCGGGCTCGCGCCAGTGGAACAGGAACCTGCGGGGGAGGAGGGAAGCGGGGAAGTGGGGAAAGCGGACAGGTGGGAGGTGGGGGAAGCGGAAAAGTTGGGGATGGACGGGGGGAGAGGCGGAGAGGATGGGGGAAACGGAAAGGAGGGGGTGGAAGCGCAAGTCAGGAGAACTTGCGGTGAAACGCAACCTCTCGCGCGCCGCGGAGCAATCAGTGTCTATCTGGGTCAAACAAACCAGGGGGAAGTTCGCACAGCTGTCACCAACTCATGTAAAACTTTCGCTCACCCCCTATTTTTCAACGTCGTCTGAAAGTCGTAACCCTTGAGCGACGACGGTTCGCAGACGGGAGTCTGTGCGACGACTCGGGGGAGAGAGGTTGCAAGGCCGAGGGTGACGAAGACGAGGACGAGGAGGGAGGAGCGGGTAGGGAGTAGAGCGGACACGCCGCGTTGGCGCGCCATGAGTATCGGAGTGATCATTAACGGTGCGCACTATTAGTGAGGATATGAGATACGTAGGGCTAGTCTCCTGCGAGTCAGATGGTCGATACACAACACAAGCTGGACGATTGAGAGGGTTATTTGAGACAGGAGGACATCTAAGACTTATCGTTCCGACGGTGCTTGCTTCCTCCTGCTGCTTCGAGTTGCAGTGTGGGGCGGCTGGTTCGATTCGCTCTCGCTGGCGCTTTTCGTTCTCTTCTACTCTAGTCCCTACTTCGCTTCTACTCTCTCACCAGCTCCTCTCACGTGCGTCACCGTTTCTCGAGCCGTGGCTGATAAGCTGAGAATCTCTGAGCCAATGGATGTCGAGAGCGAGCCCCTCTCATTACGGGCCAAGTGGTGTCGGTGTGAGCAGCCGGGGACGTGCTTGCTTGATTCATCCTATTAGCGGTGGTGGTTGTAGTAGGATATGTGGGGCAGAGACAGGATAGCACCAGGACCAGGCGCCGTGAACTCAGGAGAGAGCAGCAGCGTGCATTCGAATTGATGGCGTTTCGGATTGAGAGAAGGGAAGGGCATGATAAAACCTGCAGCACGCAGGCGAATTTCTGTGCATTACAGGATGCGATTCGGGTTTGACTGGTAGTTGCGACGCGCTTCAATGTTCCTACCGAACCGAAAGGTATGGAGCGACTCGTGGGGCACCGCTGTCGTTTTCCCGGAATCTCGAACCAAAGCTACTGCTTTGGCATCACTGGCGAAGTACCTTCCCGATGGAATCCTGGGTTTCGCAAACAGCGCGAGCAGGGCGATAACGAGCGAACTGAACTTGCGAATAAGAAGAAGCGCATGCTACAGATGCTCAAACCAAACCAGCGCCTCGAACCGCATTTCGCACCCCTGAATGCTTGGTAGTGTTCTCAATATACCGCTGCTTTATCTTCCTCGTATAACTCTTGCCATACTCCTTCAAGCTTCAAACTTTTAGCTGAATCACACATATGAATCTTCCCACCTTGAGAATCACAAATATAAATCTCGTTATGAACCGCTCCACTTGATGGACCATAGTCTGCTGTTGTTCCACTCAATCTTGCAGATAACTATACAACTTGAAAACAAGCCTATAAATAGATTTTGCTTAAGAGTATAGTAAACAGCATAATCTCCTGTTAGGGTAACCAGGCTGGGTTAGATTTCCATGCTCTGCTGCAACTTACCCTGAGTTAGCAATAAACCACATGTCTCATGTATGGATGCTTCACATCGTATCGCGACCACCTTTCACCCGAAAGGAGCTCGCTTGGGTTGCACGACCCCTCCGTTACCCCCACAGTTGTGACAAATCCCCCAGTAAAACTCCCAGAGCTTTTTCCAAATCGCCCACCGGCGCGCCCTCCTCGCCACCCTGTGTTCTTGGTCATACGCGCCGCACTCGCACGACTGACACCCACATCCTCCCTCATTATCATCATGATTATCATCATCGTCGTCATCGTCATCGTCGTTCTTATCACCGCCGTCGTTACAGCCCATGCTACAAGGCCTGGGCGTTCTGCTCTGCGGCGCACGGATGATCTGCGGAGGGTAGTGGCATGAGTAGTCCACAATCGCAATGCCCCTGGTGGGAATCGAGAGCAGGGTGGGAAAGAGAGCAGGTGGTTTGGGCGACTTGTGAGTCGACTCAGAGGGATAATCTGCGGAGGGTAGTGGCATAAGTAGTCCACAATGGCTATGCCCCTGGTGGGAATCGAGAGCGGGGTGGGAAACATTAAAAAAAAAAAATGCAGGTTCCCCTCTTGAACAGCTACAGGTTATAGACACAGAGAGTGCGCACATTGCACATGCACACTCACATGGCATATGCACACTCGCATGGCGGCGCCGTGGTATGAGAGCGTGGTCATGGCGTTACAAGTGTGGCCATGCATTCAAGAGAACAAACACCACATAGGCACACAAGAATGGCACATGCAGACTCACATGGCGGCGCCGTGGTAGGAAAGCGTGGTCATGGCATTGCGCGAGTGCGCCCATACCACCCAGCTCTTCCCCTCAATGTGGAATATCGACTGCGACCCCGTTCCGTTCTCCCGAGAAAACCTGAAGGGAGGGGTGACGGAGGGGGGAGGAGGGAGGGGGGGGAGAGAGAGTCTGAGAGAGAGAGTCCGAAAGAGATATTGTGTGTGTGTGTGTGTGTGAGAGAGAGAGAGAGAGAGAGAGAGAGAGAGAGAGAGATAGAGAGAGAGAGAGAGAGTGAGAGAGAGAGAGAGAGAGAGAGAGAGAGGCAAAATGGGTAATGCAAAACGCGAAGACAGGGCGAGCCTGCAGCGGCATCACTCTCTTGACGATAGTAGAGCAATCCGGCACCACCTCAACAGCCAAGTTGACTTCTAAGTAAACTCAAAAGTCAACTCAGAAGTCAACTCCAGCGGCATTCCTCACTTGACGATAGTAGAGCAATCCGGAGCCGCCTCAACAGTCTTGTCAAACCCGAGCGAGAAATTCATGGTGGGGAACACCTGCGTTCGCCGGTAACCAGTCATTTCGTACGCAGCTACACCCGGCGTGTTACCAATCACCGCATCCGCGGGGGCCATCTCGCCGTTATCGGACCAGCCTATACCGAGCCAGCCCGACCCCGCGTAGCTGTCTTGCGTCGCCTCAAGAGCCATGTGTACCGTGCAGTTTTCCACGGTCCAGTGCAGAATGAGCCTGCCACGACACACATGCAACGGGAGCAGAGGTTCGAGAGAATGACTTGAGAGTTCATTTGCGTCGCCTCGAGAGCCATGTGCACCGTGCAGCCTTCCACTCACAACACCACCAGGCACACGAAACCACCATCACGGGAGCAGCAGACTTTAGAAACAGTGTCTTGAAGAGTTTATTCCCGCGGCCACATTCAAGTGCCAGGAAATGAGGAAAAGCGAAGCATTTAGGACCAGGTATGTGGCGTACGTGGGACCAGATTAGAAGACGTACTTTGAGTCGTAGAGCTGCGCAGAGGTGACCTTTCAGTCGACTCAAAACTCACCTAAAAAAGATGGCGCACATAGGATCAGAGTCAGCACGTACTTAGAGTCGTAAAGCTGGGCAGAGTAATTATAACCCGGGAGAGTAGATGGCGGGCACGCGTTACCCATCACCACCTCTTCGCACTCCTTCTCCTCTTCGCACTCCTTCTCCTCTTCCTCCTCGTCATCCCCCCCCTTCCCCTCCCCCTCCCCCGAGGAGGACGGCGGAGGATAACCGGGCGCAGCGGTGCTCGGATTGCGCGGATAGCCTCCCCCCTGCTCGCCGCCGCCCCCGCCGCTGCTGCCGTACTCAGGGTTTGTATATGGCGGCGGAGGTTCGGAAGGATCGGAAGGATCGGAAGGATCGGAGGGTTCGGAAGGTGCGTAAGGCGCGGAGGGGGGATCATCGTAAGCGGGGTCCTGTTGGGGATCTTGCTCGTACCCGGGTTCCTGTGGAGCCGCTTGCTTCCTTGGAGTGTTCCCGCTGCCGCCGCTCGGATTGGGCTTCTGGCTCGCCGGTTGCTTCTTCGGGGTGTTCCCGCTACTCGATTTTGGCTGCTTGCCATAACCACCTTCGTTAGTAGGTTTAGAGGGTGAGCTTTCCCTTCCGCCGCCTCCTGCCGTCTCCTGAGTCGGGTCAAACGGCGCGCCATCTCCGTTATCGTCGCTGGTAGGAGGGTCTGCAAGGTTCGAGTCGTTATCTGCGGGATTCGAGCCGTCATTTGTAAAATCGTCATCGCTGGGCGAAGGTTCTTTATCTGTCGCAGGCGGGTCATCAGTTGTAGCAGGAGGGTCAGCAAAGTCAGAGTCGTTATCTGCGGAATTAGAGCCGTCATTTGTAGAACCGTCATCAGTAGGCGGGTCATCGCCTGTAGCAGACGGGTCATCGGCGGTAGAAGGCGGGTCGGCTGTAGCGGGCGGGTCGGCTGTAGCAGGTGGGTCAACGACTGGAGCTCCAGAGTCGGCGTTCGAGCTGCGATTGGCGGGTGAATGATCCACAAAAGGCTCTTTTTGCGTGGGCAGCCCGTAATTACCGCCTCCATCGCCGCCGCCATCGCCGCCGTCGCCGCCTGAGCCTCCTTGCCCACTAGGCACTTCTTGGGTATCCGACGGGCCTTGACTATCGGTCGCGTTATTCTTCTCGCCATTCGCTCCGCCTTTTCCGCCGTTATCTGCGTCAGACGTGCTTGGATCGGTGAAACTCCAGTCCCACATGCCGTCGTCTCTGCTCCTGCCACTGCCACCTCCTTCTTCCGTTGTGCTTCCGCCACCACCGCTGCTGCCGCTCTCTTTGGTGGTCGAGCCCTTGCTATAGTCACCGTCGGGCGAAGTTTCAAGCTGCTTGTTAGTAACGGGTCCGTCTACGGCGGGGTCGACTATATCGAGAGGAACATCTTCTGACGTGGCGCTTTGAGCATATGCCGCACCCGCGGGCGTGATGTGACTGCCTAGCGTAGCGACGGGAAAGGATGCCACCAATGCGACGGAACAGAGAACGAGAAGGCACCGCCATGCTTTGAAATGTCTCTGTCGCGAAATCGATCTCGATCCTTCATGCTGCGCCATCGGAAACTAGTGCTAGGTCCTTGCTGCTCCCTTACCCTGTATGCTGCTGCATGCTTGACGACAACAAAGCTACAAAGTATTATTCCTAACAGCTATTAGCTATGTGGGTTTCGCAAAGGCTGTAGGCTCTAGTCTATGTGGGATGTGGCAAGGCTGACTGAATCGTTTCTATTCCTGGACGAAGTTTCACCGCCAAACTGAACGTCCTGTAAGTCTCGCATTCTGGATGCTGAATGGACCACGAGCACAGACGTCGTTTGCTCTGCTCGACGAAGCTTGTTCCGTAACAGCGCGTTTCCTTGTCTGTGCGGATGGCGAAGGAACCCTTGCACCGACAGGTGGTGCGTGCCAGAGTGGTTAGGGTAGTTATCACCGACCACGAGCAGAGGTGGACACTAAACCAGGTGACGGCAGTGCAAGTGCCGGTGGAATCGTGCAGCCGTCACATATTTCGTTGAACGAGAACCGAGTCGTCAAAATTGGCCCCTCCCTTGTTGGTTCCTCCTATGAAATGCTAGCCAAGGGCTTGGGTAATGGTTGGTGGGTGCTGAGAGGGTGTACTGTAGTAGTTTGAAATGTCACGCGACTCGATCTGAAATGTCTCATCGAAGCGCGTTTATCTCATAGCAGAGGGGCGTGGTTGAAGTCACATCGAAGCGCACGTCACGTTCCCTAAGGTTGTGTCTCGTTTGGACCTCTCTACTCGATGGATGCCACGTCGGAACCCCAGTGGCTAGAATTGACTGCCACGACGAGCCCGTCGGTGCGTGCACAGCGTGGGTGACCTGGTTCGCGAGGAAAGTACTCGTTACTCGATACATATAACAAACACATTCTGGGAAAATCCGTTGTCCCATAAAACTGAACAGCATTGTCAAAATCAATTTCGATGCCTTGCCTATTCCACCAACAAATGCGGCCATTGCACTACAACTAAATAAGCCTACCCCCCATATTATGGTACAGCATGGCTACAGCTCTAGTAGCTGAACCATGGTCATGTGCATCTTGCCATCATCTCTTCTATGCTTGCTACTTGCTCATCAGTAGGTGTTCCCACACCCCATTCTTCATAAGATGTCATACCCTCTGGTAATGGAGCCACGTCTCCCACAGCATGGCTCGACAGAATGTTCTTGAACACAGGCTCCTTGGTGCTTGAGCCTGTTCCCCCCAGCTTGACATTGCTGAGGGAGATGCCAGTGCACGGTACCGTATCGCTACACTCCATGTCCATTGCATACCTGCATTAATCGAATAAGAGAGGTGAAAGCGTATTGTACGAAGTCAGCATAAGCAACTGGAACAATGTGCTTTTGAGTCAACTAGAACAACGTGCTTTTATCCTACCGAAAAGCCACTCACTTGGAGGCGGTGCCGTAGACATCCGTGTACGAGATGTTCACCAGCGCCACGTTGTGGGGCGATGGCTCGCAGGGGAAGTCCTGATTGTCGTCACAGTAGAACTGCTGGGTGTTGGTGGGGAATAAGACACAAGGAGGGGTTACGGCCTCTGCTGACCCTGCAGTACTGTGTGAAGAGTTGGTACCTTGGTAGTGTTGTGAAGAGTTGCAAGCATGGGCGGGAGTGAGTGAGGGCAAGCAGCAGACTGTACCTAAGAGCAGGAGACAAGGATTCAAATCAAGCAGAAACGCGGAAGGCAGCGCAGAGACTGAAAACAGCCAGCATGAAGAGTTCTGGTTGTGAAAGGAGGTGTCTAGACTGGATTACCTGATCAAGTGTAATCGCCCGTTCTATGTTTGTCATGTATACATTCTCGTACTGTACATTCCGCACCACTCCCAAGCCGCCCTGCCACGTCTTGATCCTCAGCCCATTCGACAGATCCGATAGAATCAGATCTTTGAAGCTCACATCCGACACGCACGCCACCGCACCCCCAGCTCCCAAACTCCCAATGCTAATCCCGTGCCCTGACGTGGCGATGAGATTCCGGACCGTCACGTTGGCCACTGCCTGGCTGCCACGTGCCACCAGTGACACGTCATCATCTCCTCCGTGGAAGGTGCAATTCTCAATGAGCGCGTGGCGCACGCCCAGGAGTTTAAGACTGTCCGTGTTGGGCGACTCGTCAGGCGCGTTGGTGGTTAATCTCCTCACCCACAGCCAGTCGATGCCGTAGGAGAAGACATGGTACATGGGGGGGTTGCTGGGGGATGGGGGGAGAGAGGGGGGAGGGGTGGGGGAAGTGGACAGCGGATGAACACGTGGTGCATGGAGGAAGGAGGCAACAGGGGTGGAAGGGCGAGGAGGTGCCACAGGAGAACACGTGGTACATGGGGGGGTTGCTGGCGGATGGGGATGGGGGAGGAGGAGGGAGGGGAGCGGGCAGAGGAGGGGAGAGGAGGGGTGAGAAGGGGGTGAGAAGGGGTGAGGAGGGGTGAGGAGCGGGAGACGGCGCCACAGGAGAAGACATGGTACGTGGGGGGGTTGCTGGGGGATGGGGAAGAGAGAGGGGGGAGGGGTAAGAGGGGAGGCGAGGGGGGAATGAGGAGCGCACGATGCTGCAGAATGCTACTCACCGCAGCGCCACGCCGTCAAGAATGACCTCGCGGCAGTTGATCAGCGACAGCAGGTGCGGCCTGTCGTGTGCGCTTGTATCCCAGTACCCCTCGCCGTTGCCGTCGAGGCTGCCACTACCGCGTATGACCAGCCCCGTTATCCCTACGAACCGGAACATGCCGTTACTCGCCACACCGATTTTATCCTCGTTAATGTACAGCGACGGCTCGGGATAGCCCTCCGCGGTTTTGGGACCGTAGATCGTCGCGTCGTCGATTTGGAGCGTCAAACCGGCGCCGCACGATCCGTTCACCGTGATCGAACGGCTGAGGTAGTACTTTGCGCTGTTTCCGTCTGCCTCTCGGCTCTGCTCCGCCAGCACACGGTTGAGCTCCGCCAGTCTGCGCCTCCGCTCCGCCAACCTTCTCTCCGCCAGCCCGCGGTTCTTTTGCGCCAACCCGCGATGGTTGAGCAGCCACTGCATCGTATCGCTAACCGAGGCCGCGCCGCTTCCGCCGCTTCCCCCGCCGTTGTTGCCGCCGCCTCCGCCGTTGCTGGAACCCTTCAACGCGTCCACGTTAGCGATTGAATTATCGACGTTAACGTTAACGCTAACGTCTGGCATTGTGACGTTCACGACCGGCGGCAGATGGGGCATGTTATCCGCGGTATTGTTGGGATCGCTATTCGGGGACGAGTCGTTGCCTGATGTCGTGTCAATTCCCTTGCCAGCGGCACTGTCGCTGGTGCTTTTCGTACTAGCGATTCTGCCTGAATCCGTCGCACCGCCATCCTTGGATGATGTTTCCGCGGAAGAGCTTCCCCCGGAGGATCCGTCCGCGGATGGCGGAGCGACGAGCACGCGGACGCGCACGTGTTCCGCCTCCGCGAGCTTGCAGGCGGCGTCAAAGGCGCGGCGGAAAGCGCCCCAGCTATCCCCGCGGCCGTCGGGTTGCGCGCCGTAGTCCGCCACGTGGAAGGTCGCGGCGGAGTCGTCCGGGGGTAGCGGCGCAACTCCCGCGTACTCGGCGGGCCAGGAGGGCGGCGGAGGGAGGGAATCGGCCGACGACGAGCTCTTCGCTGTAACGGGGATAGAACGATAGAGGGGGCAACATGAGCATACAAGATAGTCATATCACGATTTCTTTACCCACATGGTTGTGCAGGAGTATTGGCGGGTGGAATACGGCGGAGGCTGAATCTAAATGGACTGGAATTTCAACATAGGGAGGGTGGGATTCTGATCGAGGACGAGCGGAGACGGATGGGTGAAGGGCGCGGCGAGAATGAGCGGAGTATTGAGATGCATCGGATGCCGACAACCATAGGGAGTGAGCGCATGCTGAAAGCAATGGGCGGTGGAAGATTTAGTTCGTGCCTCGCGCCTCGCGCTGACGGCAGTGGGTTGGAGCTTTACGAACAGGAATGGCTACGTCGGAGCTTACCGAGAGAAAGCAGTGAAAAGGCCACGTGGCAGAGGTTGAGTGGCCTTTGGGGATCTACAGTACCACCTGAACTCGAAACTTCACGAAACAGGACATGCCTTACCAAGAGAGAGTAGTGGAAGGGTCGCGAGGCAAAAGAGAGCAACTGCGCCTGTAGTAAATAAACGACGTGCTGACGGTGGCGATAATGCGGCTTTTCCCATGGCTGCTGTTTAACACAGTTGAATGAGAAAGTCAAGGTCGAAGCAGAGTGATGGACGACGACGCCCTGAACCACAATGAGTAACAGTAGGCGCGGGTTTGACGAGTAATGGATTACTATATTTCGACAGAGCCGCCTCTGAATCCGTTCTAATGGGGTTACTGCCGTATCCGAGCATACATAGCTTTTATGTGAAGGACATCAACTTCATGAATGTGATTGTGAGTTTCGCTGGTTGTGAAGAGGCGAATCTGGCTTAACTTGCGAGGAACGTTCGTCGAAGAATAAGCGGAGGAGCCGTGTCCCGCCTTTTGGCTCAATGAGTGCTGAGAACTTTCAGTGGTTGCCTTGTGAATGACGAACAACACTGTCCGTCCCTCTGACGAGTGTTGATGATGCTGGACGGTGTAGTCTTGTTGAGTATGCTTGGACCATTTTCGCAGCCAACTGGAGGGCAATGGTGCGGGGTGAGGAGAAGGAGGTGGCATTTGCTCTGTCGCTTCCGTGTCGCGCAATCTGGATGAATGGCCGCTTCGCGGCGTGCGGTTCGGTCACTGCGCCTCGAGCAGTCAACAGGTTCTTCCAGCGGTGAACGGGTCGCATGCGATTTCAGAGCCTGCGTCGCACACTTCTGCAGAAGACGATTAGCCAATAGGATGGCTAAACGCCGCGTGAAGGTGACAGACTCTGTCGCAACGCAATTGTAGGTGGCCGGCGAGCCAATAGGAAAAAAACACTAGTAGGAGCGAAGTTTCGAAGGGCTTTCTTCTACTAAATTTCAGATAATCCGCGAAAACAACTCTCACTAGAACTAAGATAAGTACACATTTCAGTCTGAAAGATTATGTACCGTAATGCTGCAATCATGCAATCATTGCAGCACTGGCTACCCTTGGTTGATGGAGCTGAGAACCACCTCCCTTTCCATAAGTAACAAATTCTGGAGAGCAAACAGCACAGGGGGCCAAGCACAACAAATGCCACGCAAACACCAGAGCAACATCAATGTACGGTAAAGCAAGCTGCCAGATAATGAGGCACAAAAAAATATTATCCGAAGACGAGACCCACCTGGAGCTGCTGTGGAGTGAAGAGTTGATGTAGTGTGCCCTGGGCCACCAGAGCTGCAACATCAGTTGCGTCCATGACCTCCCCTGCCGCTGCTGGATCCACATGCACTGATGGCTCCAGCTGCTGCGCCATAAACACCCGCACCTGCATAAAAACGAGCGTGACAATAAATGTGGGTGGAGATTGGATACAGACTTGGGTTATGACAGGAACAGATGCCTGCACGAGATACTAGCATCGATAAGGCCAAATGCAACCTATGCATGTAAAGATAAGAGTCGCACACAAAACTCAACGCCCGTACACCCAGGGATAGGAACACACAAGCCCAAACCTTTCATTCTGATATAATAGACACACACAGCTACACCCACCTCCTGGCAGCGCAAGGCAAGTGTGGGAAGGCAGCACACTCGGCACAGCCGGCGCATGAGCCACGGCGCAGGCTCTGCACCCCGAGCCTCCGCTGCTGCGGTGCCAAAGCTGTCCACGGTGGTTCGCGAGAGGCTTGGACGGTGAGTTGGTGGGTTGGTGAAGGCAGCACAGCGCACCACGTGCATGCGAGCTGCAGGGTCCATGTGAGGCAACTCGGCTGGGAAAAGAGGGGAAGAGAGGGGGAAATGGAGAGAGGGAGAGAGGGGACCGGAGAGGGAGTGAGTGCAGGTGCACAGCACACGACGTGCACGCGAGCAGCAGGGTCCATTTGAGGCAACTCGGCTGGGTGGGTAACAGGGAGAGAGGGAGAGAGGGAGAGAGGGAGAGGAAGGAGTGTGGGGGGAAAGGAAAGGAGAGAGCACATAGAAGCAGCACAGCACACCACGTGCTTGGGTCCGGCTGGGTCCATGTGAGGCAACTCGGCTGGTGAGGTGATAGGAAGAGGGAGAGAGGGAACGAGTGCATGGAGGCAGCACAGCACACCACGTGCATTCGAGCAGCAGGGTCGGCAGCAGCAGTTACGCTGGGGGAGGAAACAGTGAAGTTAGGAGAGAGGGAGGATGAGCACCAGAAGAAGCGGAGGAGGAGAAGAGGATTGAAAAGGCGGTTGCAGAAAAGGGATGGCAATGGGTGAAAGTGCAATCGGGCAGGTGCGAGCAGCAATGCACACATTGCTCCTACCTAACCAACCTCTCCCCTCCTGTCACTGCTGCTTGCCCTCCTGTCCTTCTGCCTAGTTATTGAAGCACAACGCACCTTTGACAACACGGGCCATGATGCGCACAGCAGGGCTCTCCACGCCCACACTCGCTCCCTCACTCGCGCCCTCCTCCTCCCCTCTGCCGGCCAGGCAGCGAATGGCGAGCGTGAGAAGGCGCGCGTCGGAGGGGTGAACTGCCACGTCCACCTGAGAGACGAGAGGGGGAGAGAGAGGGACAACGGGGGGGGGGTGTGGGGGCGAGTGGGGGGAGAGCGAAGGGAAGCAGAGAATGGCGAGCGTGAGAAGGCAGAGGGGTGTACTGCCACGTCTACGTGATTCACGGAGAGAGAGGGGGAAGGAGTGGCAGGGGGGTGGAGTGGGGAAGGTAGGGGGAAAGCAGAGAAAGCAGAGAAAGCAGAGCTAATGATGGAGGAGAGTCGGAAAGGTGCACTGCCACGCCCAGGGTGAGTCCGAGGGGAGGGGTGCGCACTACTTCTCAGCACTTCTCCCGGTAGTGCACACTTCTCAGCACTGCCGGGAGGAATCGCTTTGAGCGAGAGCACTGAGCATCACAGCACAGCACACTGCTTCCCTGCACTAGTACTCAAACCACCACACTCACCCTGACTTGCCGTGCCTCTGCCTCTTCATCCCCCACGCATGCCATGAGCGCCGAATGCATGGCGGCACACAGAGAGGCATAACCACCCGAAAAACACAACACACTGCTTCCCCCTACTTTAGTTCCCAAGCCACTACACTCACCCTGACTTGCCGTGCCTCTGCCTCTTGCTCCCCCACGCACGCCATGAGTGCCGAGTGCATGGCGGCACACAGGGAGGCATCGCCGGGCACGAGAGCCCCTGAGGGGGCCAGCACCGCCACACACGCCACCACCACGTGCTCGCTGCCCTGCTGCCGCTGCTGGTGGTGGGGTTGTTGCTGCTGTGGGGTGACTTGAAGGCGCATGGCTGAGGAGGATTCTCCTGGTGGGGATGGGACGGTGGGGGAGTGCGGGTGGAAGGGGATTGAGGGGAAGAGTGAGTGCATAGCGGCACACAGAGAGGCGTCTCCTGAGACGAGAGCCCCTGAGGGGGCCAGCACCGCCACACACGCCACCACCACGTGCTCCCTGCCCTGCTGCTGCTGCTGCTGCTGCTGCTGCTGGTGGTGGTGGTGGTGGTGGTAAGGTTGCTGTTTTGGGGTGACTTGAAGTCGCATGGTTGATGAGGCTTCCCCTGGGGATGGTGGGAGAGACGTGAGGGTGGAAGGGGAGAGCGGGTGACAGCAGGAAGGAGAAGAGAGCACGTAGGGAAATGTTATCT